CCCAAAGTAGTTTCGATATTGGCACTTCAAGACCGATGTATCTAGGTCTGTCGTGAGCGAGTGAGTGACCGACTGAGTGACAGAGTGACTGAGGGAGTGAGTGCGTGTGTGTTTCGGATCTTCGCAAACACGGACCCGTTGGTTCGGCTGTACCTGTCATTGCCTCACCTTGAAACGGCAGAGAGGCTCCTGCAACTGCCGTCTAAGGTCAACGACACCGGCAGTGGTGTCTTCGGTGACTTAAGTTTAGGGTCTGCAGTTTGGATCTTAAGACCGAGCGGGGCTCACAAGCGAGATCATAAACTTAAATCGTATGCCAAAGCATCCCAACTGGCCCACATGACAATACCTTCTGTGAAGCGGTCTTAGGAATTTCGGTGGCGCAGGCCTTGCTTGGTTTCGGGCCTAGTCCAAGGATTTGTGGGAAGAGTCGGGACCATTTGCTATGTTTCTGTGACAATCCTTTTTCCAGGAGAACATCTCACCTGCCTTTCGACGGATTTCGGATATTTCGAAGGCTCCAGGGCACTGCAAACTAATTGACCCTGAACAAATATTCGGACCGGTAGAAACCTCGACGAACTCCGGAAAGCGTTCAAGCTGCTACAAAACAGAACACAGGCACATCAACTCCACACAACTGTGCCAAGCCTAAAGTAGGTGCCCACCTCAAAACGAAGCAAAAGGAACAAGCCTTTCTCTTCTTAGTCATTATTGGTCACCAAGTGCTACAGCTTCCACAAGCCCTGTGCAAGCCTGTACAGGCAGGGTCGCAGCACAGAAAAGGCCCACTGCATTTAAAACAAAAACCGAAATCCTAAACTCTTGTCCCTAAACCCTAAACTTGTTTTTTTTTGAAATAGGCGTTCCAAAAAAACCAAACCTAACCCTAAACCCTCAAAACTCACAAGCCAAGGTGGCCAGCCTTCACTGGAGTCGTACTTCGGGGCGGGGAGGGAGTGGTTCAGGGTTTAGGGCTTAGAGGGCTTAGGGTTTAGGGTTTAGGGTTCAGGGTTCAGGGTTTAGGGTTTAGGATTCAGGGTTTAGGGTAGGCTCTAAGCTTTTTAGGGTGTGTAAACTCTGACCACAATGAGAAGGTGAACCCTTCTTGGGCCGAGGACTTAGGGTTACTGTGTGGAGGGCTCAGAGAGACAGAGGAGAGAGAGAGAGAGAGAGGGAGAGAGAGTCGCTAGTGGGGACTCGGACTCAGGGTTTAGGGTTTAGGGTTTAGGGTTTTCTGGTGTGGGATAAGAGACGAGATGGACTCTTCGAAGGCGTCGAAGCTGCAAGCTTCAGACCCAAATCCTTCGAGCCCTCAGAACGTGAATCCTAAACGCAGATGTCCGGAGCTTCTTCCCAGAAGCCGATTGACCTTAAGAGCCCAATCCCGAACACCTGAATCCAAACTGAATGCTCTTCTTTGGTGGCAGGTTGGGAGATTGAGTGCACTCCGATCACATCCCTCCCTTCATGGTCCATGTGCCTACATAGTTCAGGGCTTATGATTTATGGTTTGTACTATGGGCTTGAGGTATTATAGAGGAAGCCGTTTAGGTGAACGTATATACGATACCATAGTTCTACATAGGTACATGGACCACCTGAAAAACCTTTAGGTGGCCCTACAAGTTTCCATAAACCCCATACAACTCAATAACACCCCATACATACCAAACAGAGGTGCAGCCTGATAAAACCCAATGAAACATCATGATACCCTGAGGGTTCGCAAGCTTTCCACAGCAAGCTTTAAACAGTCCTGAACTCTAAGCTCTGAACCGCTTAACCCGTAACGAGAACCCTTAATGGAACCCTAAAGCCCTAATGGAACCCTAAATCCCTAAAGCCCTAGACCCCTCAAAGCCCTAAAACTTGGCACAGGAGAGTGTCGCGGCGACGCTTCTCGCAGCTTGGCCGCTCTCACTACTGGTACTCGTATTAATACTACTAGTTATTTCTAGGGTTCCTTATTGTAAGTATGCTCAAGTATACCAAGCTTTTGCAAAGAAACTCACAACCTCAAACCGCCACAGAGCACTCGAGGGGGAAACCCCATAATACCCTCGTCCCTGACCTGAACCCTTTTGCCTAAATCCCAAAACTTTAAAACCCTGGGCCCTAAACCCGATGTCCCAAAAGCACAAGCCCAAACAAAAGGACGGAACCAAAACCCTAGAGCCTACAGTCTTACTAACACCCCAAAATCTAAACACCCTAACAAACCCTAAACCCTAATACCCTCGGCCCTGACCTAGACCCTAGTGCCTCAACCCCAACTTTAAAAGAGGGGTCCTAAACCCTATGTCCCAAAAGCAGAAGCCCTAACATACAACAGAAAACCCAAAAACCTTAGGCCCTAGACCCTAATTAAATGCCTAAACCACCTAAAGAGAGTAAACCATAGCGCGATGAGCTGCGGGTCAACTGTCCTTTGATATGCCATGACGTTGAACGACCGGGGCCTGTTTGCCTTGGGCGGTCCTGAGACGCGACCTGCAAGATCGACAACTCACCTGCTCGACCAAAGCGCGGCTGTATCCACGGAGTGGCATCTGGTGGGTGATGATTTGCGCAATCCTCTTCACATATCTCGCCCCCGCTGAGCGAGCCCAGCGCCAATATCCAAAAGGGGCCGGCCTTGTTGCGATCCACATGCAGCATAGCCTTTTAGTTCCAGGAATGATTCCAGTTCGGCTGTGACACTGTGCACACTCGATCATGCCTCTAAAGCTCCTTATCTATCCCAGGTCCAGCTATGCCGCTTACGGTCAATGAAGCTCTTAAGTGTCTGAACCATATACTAGATTCTTTGAGGGTTTCGGGGTTTAGGCATCAAGCCCCCTAAAAAAGGGTTTAGTAGGGTTTAAACTTACGGTTTGGGGCAAGCCCTAAAGCCTAAACCTAAGCCTAAACGTTAAACCCTAAACTATTCTTTTCCTACTATTGGGTTGTAGTCCTAATGCCTAAACCCTCAAAAACTTAATGCCTAAACCCCAATCCTCTGATGCCTGAACCCATAACCCTCATTTTTCAACCACACAACCCCAATGCTTAAACCCCCAAACCCGAATGCCTAAACCTCGAAAACTTTAATGCTTAAACCCTCAACTTAAACTCTACGTTGCCGAAACCCAAGACCCTACCTGAAGCCTAGCATGTTCCCTGTCCGTGTCAAAATCAAGACTCTACTTGCGGGGTCGGGGGACTTAGTAAGTAGTTAGTAAGTAGACTAATAAGTACCCTAAAAGGGACCCTAATTGGGGTTATGGTACCTATAAGTCCCTAAAATAACCAGTTACTAAGTCCCCCGACCCTCCAAGTAGGCCATGGTAGTTTGCAACGAAGGCCTGAGCTCGAAAACTTGAGCCCTAAGCTAGAGCCTAAACTCTCGACCGTAAACCGTAAACCCCTAAAACCCCTTAAACCCTAAACTTAACCCTAAAAGCCCCTCCCCTAAACCCTAAACCCTAACCCCTAAACCCCTATACCCTAAACCCCTAAACCGTAAACCCAAAACCAGAGGGGCGCAGAGTCTTTCATCCGAACAGCCCGCAGGGGAAGGTCAATGAGACCAAAGACCGCAAGGAGTCGATGAGCAAGATCCAGGCACCGCTTGTTGTTCGGGTGTTTTTGGGTTATCCGGGTTGTTCAGGCTTCAAAATCAAACAACACAACCTCTCAATAAGCCCTCTTGTTGTCTGCCTCGCAAAGGCCCAGCCACTACTGAGATTTATTACTTTGGGGGGGGGCCCGAGGGGGGACCCTCCAAGACTGCTATGATTTAGGGCTTCCCCACAAGAAATCCCGACTACTAGGTAATTACTTGGGTTGTGTGCATGCAGGTAACACCGAAAGAAGCCTGAACCCTAAACCCTAAACCGCAAAGCCACCTGAACCCCTGACCCCAAAGCTGGCCGCACAGGCCCGTGTACAGCAGACGGTGCTGAACGACGGCTACGAGGAGATCAAGAAGATGATCGATCTCCGGCGAAAGAAGCATGGGGAGCAGACGTGGGTATAACCAGCCACCACCTTAACCATGTTAGGTTTATCATATGAACGCACAAAAAGCAGGTTTTTGAAGAGGTTAAGGTTTTACCCTATATTCCGCATTTCACAAGGGGGTGCATCACCCGATAGCATAGGTTGTTTCATTTTTGTGGGCTCATGGCCCAGCCGAGGGTTCAGGGTTCAGGATATCTAGAGGTTTAGGTTTTAAGGTCTAGGTTCTGAGGGTGTAGAGTTGCAGGAGTTGGGATTCAGGGTTTATGTTTTGCCTGAGCCCTGAAGAACCTACATTTTTCAAGACTTATGTAATGGAAATCAACAATATTGAACAATATTTTTTTGGAGTAAAATCTGCACAGTCGCTTAAGGTAGGGTTCAGGGATTTTCGCCGAGACCGTCCAAACACCCCCAATAACCGCTTTGCCGCATGCTGGCGAACCTCAAACTCTCACAGAGCACCCAAGCCCTAAACCCTATACCCCGCCTAAACCTTAGCGTGCGACGCAAGGGCAGCACGTTTGTCGCTATATATCGGAGACGTACAACCCTGCGGCTGCATGTGACTATATAGTATAGCTTAGGCCTGTAAGTGCTTATGGGAACCGCTTTAAGGCCTAATTCTATACATACTACATATACATATAGATCCATCCATCCATCCATCCATCCATCCATCCATCCATCCATCCACCATGCATGCAAGCATGCATACATACATACACATGGAGCTTTCAGGCACGAGAGGCTTTCAGCGATGTCCTAAACAGCCTAAGCAGTATCGTAAAGCGGGCGCATCACGAATCCCGGAGCTCTTTGGCAAGCTGACGGCACACCACCTCAAAGAATACCCTGAGTGCACCAGCCTCAAACCAAAACGGCCCCGACTCCCGTCCAAACAAACCACCACCGAGTTCTGGCCCAAGTCCTCTTATATAGAGTTTAGGGTTTAGAGTTTAGAGTTTAGTTAGGGCTGAGTGTTCCAACAACTGCAGGCCTGTTTGGAAGAGAACTGCTTCCTGCCAAACAAGCCGGTACCGTACCGCACCTCGGATGCAGTTGAAAGAAAATCTCGACGCTTTAGGGGTTTGGTTAGGGTTTAGGAGTTTAGGATTTTAAGAATGCCGGCAGTTTGTTCCTTGTGTTGTTGCTAGGGAATTGTCTGGTCAAAGAAACGTCAGGTAGCCAAAAGCACGACTGCATTGGAGAGTTTAGGCATGTCGGCATATGTTTGCGTTCTCAGGATAGGCTTCGGGACTCGAGTCTGGTTTTTGCGTGCCGTAGTGTCGAACCGTTTCAGAGGTCGGCAAGCCGACTCGATCCGTACAAGTCTTTTATCTCAAACGCAAACCCTAAACCCTAAAGCCTCAACTTTAAAGCGTCAAGCCTAAACCCGTAACCTTACCACCTTCTGGGGTCGCGCTTCGGCAGAAGTGTTTGAGGGTACGGCTGGTTCACCGTGAGGTGTTAGCATGTACGCAGCTGGCAGTGAACTGAGCTAGTTATGGTCGACACCCCCGGGATTGCTCGATGCGGAGACCTGCTTGCGCCGAGTGGTGCATGGTTCCATGGTGACTTTCTACCACGCCAATGACCCGGAGGAGGTCCTCGAGGCTCTCGGTTCTCATGTTTGACCTTAGCACGCCCGCAGCTCGTGATGAAGTCTGGGCCATCATACAGATGATGTATTCCGAGGGGAATCCGCTCAGTCATGGGCATGGATTCCCTGTTTCGCTGGCTGGTACCCCTCTGGCTATAGTGGCACTGCCTCAAGTTATCGACACCGTTGCAATCATAAATACGGGTGCAGCGGAGGCGGGTGCCCCAGCTGGAGCAAGTCATGGCACAATGTTGGCGCCAGGAGCTGGAAATCGCGCCCGGCCAGCCGTGTCACCTGTGTATATATACCATGTGATGAAGCGGTGTTGGGCTCCCTGGGTACGCCATGAATCCATGCTCTTTTCTCCCACTGATCCAGCGCCTACTCTACCGACACCCTGCTCCAGTTCTGCTGCACGTAGCTAGGGTGTTGGGAACTTGTTGGAATCTAAACCTCGAAACTCGAACCCGAAACACCATGGACTCAGACCTGGACATTATAGTACAATGTTCGCCCCCTCAACGGAACACACCGGAAGGCAGTGATAGCTTCTAGTTATGCTCGTGCATCTCCTTATCCTGCTAGTCCTAAACCCGTCGGCGGGCTTGTTACTAGGTTCCTGAGTCGTACCCCTTTTTGAAGGGTTCCTTAGGGGGCTCTATAACGGATCCTTAAAGGGCTTCTATAAGCGAACTACAGGGCCTTAGGGTGTAAAGTTAGACACCCCTGCAATGCATTTGCGTGACAAGAATCTAACAAACCATGTTGCGATAGACAATGTATCGGCCGGCAGGTGTGGGGCCTGGAGGAAGTTGAGGTCACCCCTGAACGCTAAATCCTAAAAGCCTGTAACGTTCCGGACTGATTGCAGCATTCAATCGAACGAACCCTGACATGCAACCACAGCCCGCGCCGCAAATCTTGAGGACGAATAGCCATACAGCAAAGAAGGACACATCTTAGATTAAAGCCGTAATGCCCGAACCCTTATTGAAATCAATACTCCCTGCCCTACAGTCCCTACACCCAGCTTCTAAGATGGAGCAGTTACTTCCGAAATCCTGAGCCCATGTGAACCCTAACTCCCTGATGCCCGAGTCCCGAACCAAGACGAAGCGACAATGCAAAGCCGAATAGATCCCTTCTAGTGCCCTTAGAGGAACCCTTAACGTGACTAGGATGCCCAGTAGTACCCTTATTCCCTTTTTGTAGTCCTAGGTTCCTTATAAAGTTGCCCAATACCAAAAAGAGAGGCCTTTTTATTCTTGGGTTACTGGGTATCCTAGCCTAAACCCTAAACCCAAAACCCAAAACCCTAAACCCTAAACCCTAGGTATCCTAGTTAACATGAGCTACACCCCACCCTGGGCCGCCTGCCAGGAAAAGGAGGCCTTGCAGCCATCGGCGCCGTGGCTGTCGGCCCTTCTCTCAAACTGCAGGGCTTTGAGGTTGTGGGGTTAAGGGTTTAGGGTTTGAGGGTTTGGTGTTGAGGGTTTAGGTCCCAACCCTAAAGCCGCATACCGAAGGGGCTGTAGATTTTGAATGTGGCTTCTGGATTGGCAGGATTCTGGAGGGAGGTGGGCTTGGGTTCTTGGGTTGAGGGTGTTGGGTTTGGGGTTTACAGTGAGGTGGCCGGGTTTGAGGTTTAAGTTTAGAGTTTGGGGTGTTCGGGTTGGGGTGTTTTGTGGTTTATGTTTTTTTTTGGGTTGTCAGGGTTGTAATCTTAGGGCATCATTTTGATCAAGTTGTTTTTGGCGTTTGTAGGCTCGCATTTAAGGGTTGCAGCAAGTCAAGAGTGGCTGGCTGTTCCTTTGCAATACCCGAGACCCTAAACCCCAAACATCCCTAAAGCCTACTCTGTTCTGCTTGGTCAGGTCCCCAATGCTAGGTTGTGAGCAGTCCAAGGGCCCAATACCCCGGGATGAGGTCGTAGCATACCTAAAGGATCATCGGGCTTAGTAAGTAGGTTATAATTGGGGTTATAAGTCCCCTAAGTCGGGTTATCCTAATTATAACCTACTTGTAACCTTACTTACTAAGTCCCATGAGCCTTTAAGTAGACCCTAAACCCTAAACCCTTATTATAGAACCCTATAGTACCCTTTAAAGGGAACCCTGAGCCCTTACTTACTAAGTCCCATGAGCCTTTAAGTGACCCACTACTGACGAACCAAAGGCTCCATCCGCCAAAAGCCGTGCCTGCAGAATTCGCCAGAAAAGCCGATTCTCTAACCCCCACGGTTGATAGTACCCTTAGGGATCTATAAGGGTTCCTTAAAGGGATCTATAAGGGTTCTATAAAGGGTTTAGGGTTTCCGAAAAATTAGGGGCTAGGATGCCCAGTAGTACCCTTATTCCCTTTTTGTAGTCCTAGGTTCCTTATAAAGTTATCCAATACCAAAAAGAGAGGCCTTTTTATTCGTAGGTTACTGGGTATCCTAGTAAAATATGACCCTCGACTATGGGAATCATGGTATTTTAAATATGAGTAATGCAGGGTTTATATAAACCGTAGCACCTGAACCCTAACGCCTGACACATCATCCGAGGTCTCAGTTCTGAACACATCAGCTACTTTCTGCCGGCCGCTGGTCCTGAGTCTTAGGTGCTGAGCAGGTAACCTTTAACCTCTTGGAGCTTTGGATTTTAGGGATCCTTTCAACTAGGGGCTGAATATTTTGGGGCTTATATAGTCCTACTAACTATAACTCAACAGGTTATCTTACTTTTTAAAAGGATGACCTTTTGAGTTATAGTAGGATTGTACAATCCTACTGTCATTCGAAAGGTTATCCGTTTTGGGGGCTAGGGTATTCAGCCCCAAAGCCGACTTGGTGCTGCAGGGCTCAGGGGTTTTGAAGGCAAAGTACACACGAAGCTCTCTACGGGTTCGGGTTTGGGGTTCCTAAACCGTGAACCCAAACAGCATAGGTGTGGGCTTAGATGGGCGAAACCCCTACACCCCTCAACCCTAAACCCCCCAACCCTAAACCCTCTAATCCCTAAACCCTAAACCCTCTAATCCCTAAACCCTAAACCCTCTAAACCCTAAACCCTAAACCCTCTAAGCCCTAAACCCTACACCCTCAATCCTAAGCCCTCTAAACCCTAAGCCCGAAACCCTAAACCCTAAGCCCTCTAAACCCTACACCCTAAACCCTACACCCTAAACCCAAAGCCCTCTAAACCCTAAACCCTAAGCTTTCTAAACCAAAAAAACCCTAAACCCTAAACCCTCCCGCAAACCCCTAAACCGAAGACCATGCTTAGTGGCTCATGGGACTTAGTAAGTAAGGTTTAGGGCTACTTTTAAGGGTACTGTAGGGTTCTACAGTAGGGCCCCCGGGTTTAGGCTCTACTTAAAGGCTCATGGGACTTAGTAAGTCAGGCTCTAAGTGGGATATAATTTAGGAGAACCCACTTAGGAGACGTTCTAACTCCAACCAGCCTGTATGCTAAGTCCCAGGATCCTTTAAGTGTGCTTAATTGGGGGGGGATTATTATTCGGAGTAGGCTGATGCTTATCCTAAGGGGCCCCTCAGCAATAGTATGGGAAACAAAGTTTGCCGGTTTATCCGGTTGAGGATCTGGGATTCATCCTTGAGCTATACCCCAAAATCTCCAAGCAGAAGCCTCCCGGAAAGCCCGAGCTCAGGAATACAGCCTACGTCATAATGTGTATTTTGAGGCCCCTATAATTTACGGTATGTTTCCGAAGAGTGGGCTTTCTGGGTCTGGAGCCCAAATGTCCAAACCCTACTTGGAGAATCATGGGGCTTAGTAGGTAGGTGATAATTGGGGTTATAAGTCCCCTGAGCGGGGTTAGTTATCCTAATTATAACCTACTTTATAACCTTACTTGCTAAGTCCCATGAGCCTTTAAGTATGCCGTCGTAGGAACTTTAAGGGGATCTAAGTTGGAATCGTCATAGGAAAGCTACTTAAAGGATCACGGGACTTAGTAAGTAAGGTACTAAGTAGGTTGTACTTAGGATAACCACACTTAGGGGACTTATCACCCCCATTATAACCTACTTACTAAGTCCCATGATCCTCTAAGTTCCCTAAACTCCCTCTTATAGAACCCTTATAGACTTATAGATCCCTTAAAAAGGAGCCCTTTAAAGGAACCCTAGGGTTTCATGAATTCTTCATACAAAATCCTAGAGCCCTAGAGCCTGAACCCTGAGGACATCATGCACCTTGTTATCGGGACGGATACAGAGCAAGGCTGGCTAGGGTTGTAGGGGTTTAGGGTTTAGGGGTTTAGGGGTTTAGGGTTTAGGGTTTAGGGGTTTAGGGTTTAGGGTTTTAGGGTTTTAGGGTTTAGGGTTTAGGGTTTCTTTCGCTTTGGGGCTTCTGGGGTGTAGAGGCAGCCCTACACAGTTTAGATCTACGGGGTGCGACTGTATGATGTCACGTTTCTGATTCTCTGTGTGTGTGTGTGTGTAGTCGGGTGTGGCAAGTCCCGGAGTTGCGGTCCTTTGATCAGGCCCGTTTTCCAACGATTGCGGCGAGTATCGAGCACCCCTGCTGCAGTAAGCCCTTTCGATGCGAAAGTAGTGAGGACAGTACGCATGTGTATTTTGGCTCTCTCATGCTGTCACATTGTTACCAGCAGCAGCAGCAGCAGCAGCAGCAGCAGCAGCAGCAGCAGCCGAAGCAGTAGCAGGTAGCAGTAGCAAGAAGTGGTATGTTGCCCACTCGCAGCGAAATTATCGTTCTTAGACAACCTAGTAAACCTTGTATTTACTGTTATTCTTGCCAGCGCTGTGGTAGCAGCAGCAGTCGCTTGGACGGAGTTGTCGCAGCAGCAGTAGCCCCAGCACGAGTAGTAGTAGCTGGAGCTCCATTAATCACCTCATACATATTCAAACACTGATTGTCCACAAGAAACTTTTGGTTCCAACTGCAACTCTAAACCCCAAGCCAAGATCCGATACCTGGCCTGTGAATCGCTGTTCAACATCGCGAAAGTTGCGAACCACGCTGCTCTTCTGAAACTTGGTAGTTTGTTTGTTTGAGGTGGCTCCCCTGCACCCTCCCAACTACCCTCTGGCATACTCGGAATACCCACCAAAAGGATTTTAAGGGCTCTATTGAAGGCCACTTTGGGGTTCCTGGCTGTTGGAGCCTTCGGATTCAGACATCCGCAACTGGACACTTGAAGCCTAACCACTTCAATCAGCAAGGATTTCGGGCCTAAGGGTTTAGGGTTGCAGTGCGTAGGGTGTGGGATTGGGGTGTGGTAGGGGCTTATATGAACCAGCTGAGGGTCTGATGTGCAAGCGTTACTACACACGCGAACAATGGCGGAACCACAGATTGCCTGACCATTTCTGCCAGCATTTTTCGCCCCGTTGCAAAGGCAGCCTGAGCGCCCAGGAAATCCAAAGAGTCCAAGGCAACCCTAAACCCCACACCCTAAACCCTAACCGTTCTAACCCGACAAGCTTAATTTGGCATCAAACCCCGATGCCTTCCCATCTGGTGAAGCATGCCTGAAACTATCGGGTCCCTCTAAATGCCATGTGAAGGATCCGAACATAATGTTAGACCTTAACAAAAAGTAGGTTATGGTAGTTTAACCCAAAAGCTCCGAAGTACCTATATATATATATATATATATATATGAATGTAGGCTTGCCATATTCAGAAATAGTTTCGTGACGTGGGAAGGCATGCGTATATAGCAGTGCCTAGGACCCTTTGGGTAAGGTACGTAGTGCTTAGGACAGGGCTTCACCTACCAGAGCCCTGCATCTTTCGGTCGACTTGGCCCACGTCCCTAAACCCAGAGAGGCCAATGCTTCTAATGACGGAATAGCGCTGAATACATATGAGAAGCACCTCATATTTTAAGGTATATTCCCTAAAGCCCCAAGACTTTGTTGCCAGGAGCTGACAACCCTGAGCGCTGGACACTAAGAACCCAGCGCCCTTCGGAGCTCTAGCCCGACATCCCTAAGCTTTTTGGCTTTGAACCTAAACCCTAAACCTTGGAAAGGGGGTTCAACAGTAAAGCAACCACTACGTTCTAAACCCCACGCTCTACGCTCTCATCCAGAACCCAAAACTCTAAACTCTGAACCCTACTGAAACGCTCATGGGACTTAGCAAGGTTATAGATTATGATTAGGATAGCCCAACTTAGGGGACTTACAACCCCAGCCCAACTACAACCTACTTACTAAGTCCCATGATGCTTTAAGTTCCCTATACTCCCCCTTTATAGAACCCTTATAGATTCCTAAACCCCAATCCCCTTATAGTATCCCTTAAAGGAGCCCTTTAAAGGAACCCTACACTTACTTAGTCTCATGATCCTCCTATTACTATTGTTATTATTATTATTATTTTTATTGTTACTATTATTATAATTATTAGTATTATCATTACTATTATGATTACTATTATTATTACTACTAGGTCCCATGATCCTTTAAGTCGGCTCGGTCGGATCTCGGGGCTTCAGGCGCTTCCGCAGATGGAAAGAAGCCCTCAAACAAGAAAAAGCCTCAACCCGGGTTTTGGGTTTTTGGGTTTTAGGGTTTAGGGTTTAGGGTTTTTGGGTTTTAGGGTTTTGGGTTTTAGGGTTTAGTGTTTTGTGGTTTATGGTTTTAGGGTTTAGGGTTTAGGGGAGCTCCTTCCCTACATCCGATCCTAAGCACTAAACCCATAAAGGACACCCTAAACCTTCAACATTGTCAACCCCTAAACCCTAAACTCTAAACAAAGAACCGAATCCCTAGCTTCCAGGAGCTGCTTCCCCACATCCCCACTTAAAGGATCACGGGACATAGTAAGTATGTAATAAGTAGAGTCACAAGTGCCCTAAGTGGGGCTATTCGAATTATGCCAAGTCCCATGAGCCTTTAAGTAGTTCCTAGGAGCTCCTTCCCTACATCCTAAACGCCAAACTCACCAAAAAAAAACTAAACCCCAAACCCTAAACAGCTCTCAGGAGGTCCTGCCTTACTATACCCTAAACCCTAAAGCCTGAACCCTAGAGCCTAAATCCTAAACCCTACTTAGACCCCCAACTACCCATTAATATACCCTAAATACCCACTATTATGGACCATAAGGGGTCCATTAAAGGGCCATTGGGGGTCCTGGTAAACGAAACATAGAGCTCCCAGGAGCTACTTCTCTACATCCTAAACGCCAAACTCATAAAGGAAACCCTAGCCCCCAAACCCTAAACCCCAAACCCTAAACCCTAACGCCAAAACTCTAAAACCTAAACCCTAAACCCTAAACGAAACAAACATAAAGCTTTCAGGAGCTCCTTCCTTACTATACCCTAAACCCTAAAGCCTGAACTCTAAAGCCTAAATCCTAAACCCTAGGCCCTAAATGAAACATAATCTAGGATGCCCAGTAGTACCCTTATTCCCTTCCTGTAGTCCTAGGTTCCTTACAAAGTTACCCAATACCAAAAAGAGAGGCCTTTTTATTCTTGGGTTACTGGGTATCCTAGCCTAAACCCTAAACCCTAAACCCAAAACCCAAAACCCTAAACCCTAAACCCTAGGTATCCTAGTTAACATGAGCTACACCCCACCCTGGGTATCCTAGTAATGCTCCCAGGAGCTCCTTCCTTACATCCCCACGATCTTCGATGGCATCTCTAGGCTCTTTGCGGCGACTCGGCAGGTCTTTACGTTTTGGGGTTTTAGGGTTTTAGGATTTAGGATTCTAGCCTTTAGGGTTTAGGGTTTTAGGATTTAGAATTCTAGCGTTTAGGGTTTTAGGATTTAGGATTTTAGCGTTTAGGGTTTAGAGTTTTAGGATTTCGGATTTTAACGTTTAGGGTTTAGGGTTTTAGGATTTAGGATTTTAGCGTTCAGGGTTTAGGGTTTTAGGATTTCGGATTTTAGCGTTTAGGGTTTAGGGGTTTAGGGGTTTTGGGGGTTTTCGGAGAGGGGCACGGGGTGGGCAACGGAGGTTAGGAGGGGGGTCGGATAGGGTGGGCGGGTCGTGTGTCTGAGGTGCCAGTATTTGTTCGAGGCCGGGTCGAAACACACCATTTGGGTACCCTGGTTTGTTTAAAGGGTTCCTTATAAAGGGGTCTATAAGGAGTACTGATTACTGTAATTGTAAGGGGACTTATGGGAATTTAGTATAGGGGCCTTAAGAATTACCTATACTATTTTGGGGGTTCCTTATATTGTAACTATAGTATATTGGGCCCCAAAACCCTAATCTGACTATGAATGCCCCTACATTATGCCGTTTGTTTCGATTGTTGGACTGCCAATCGCGCTTGCTGAATTGACCCTAAACTGCCGATCTTGGATCGAAGATCTCCAACGTAGAGCTTCACATGGTTCACTGCTCACTTAAACCCTACACCCAAATGCCCAAGACCTTCAACCCTAAACCTTGAGCCAGTGGCAGATTCGGTTTGCAGGACCTTGCTCTTTAGTGTTTATGATAGTTGATATAGATGTATGTCGAATTGAGGGTTTTGTCGGTATTACGCCTGCAAGCAGGCCCTGGATCAGCCCTATCCTTCGATCACCCCTATAATCTTTACTATTACCAATTATAACGAATGAATATATAACTTAAATAATAATATGAAGCCCCGTATACTGTAGGTTTATTTCTTCAGTAAGGGGTATTGGACGTGTTTGCGCTTGCTCATATTTCCCTCTGAAGCTGCAACAGCATGAGCAAACACCAATTGCTTTAACGACCAAACCTTAAAGCTGTGGCCTTAGCCTTAAAGAAATCCGAAATTTAGGCCCCCGAAAGACACCGTCAGCTAAATCAACGATTTTAGAGTTCAGGTTTTGGTTCAATAAAACCAGATTTGTGAGATCCTTATGTTTAGCCGTGGTCTTCTGAGCCCTTCAATATTTGCAAAAAGGCATGCGAGACTGTATAAGTTTCTTTGAGAACCCGTGAAAACGCCAACAGCCGAGGATGTGAACACCGAAGTGCGGCACGCCGCTATGGTCTTGGACAAGCTGCTGCGGGACGGTTGGGTCGGGTTCAAACAAGGAATGCGGTGGAGGGATTGACAACCTTTTTAAACTTGGATCTATACTTAAAGGCTCATGGGACTTGGCAAGTAATCATAAAAAGGTTATAATTAGGATAACCACCACTTCGGGGACACCCGAGTTATAACCTATTTACTAAGTCCCATGACCCTTTAAGTAAGGTTTCTTCTTTGCACTGTTCAGAGACTGCAAGGCAACCTCTGCGCCAAACTGCTTATCTTTGTAGAAGTCCGCATATACGAAAGAATCCTGAATCTGAATTTCGAGCAGAAACCTAAAACACCCCTCGAAATAACTAAAGTGAGAGCAGTACACTTCAAGTAAGGAATCTGCTTCAAGCTACGACCTTGTCAAACCCCGCTCTAAAGCCCTAGACCCTGGTAACCCCAAACCCTAAACCCTAAAATGCACCAGCGGAAGCTTAGTACTTGTTGCTACATAGTGCAAGCCCCTTGGGAGGCAGGCTAAGTCACTGCTTCGTCGCCTGGTGGAGTGGAGAAAGGTCAGTGCACCTTAAAAAAATGCACCATTTGAAGGCTCATGGGACTTAGTAAGTAAGGTTATAAGTAGGTTATAATTAGGGTAACCCCACTTAGGGGACTTATAACCCCAGTTATAACCTACTTACTAAGTCCCATGATCCTCTAAGTAGAGAGGCCTTGAAGGGTCCCTAAAAGCAGAAGCCTCTTCATAAGAACCCCATAGGATATACCACACCGTGGAACGCCATCACCGATAGGTTCCTTAGGGTCCAGGTAAACCCTAAAATGCACCAGGGCCTCCCATCGCTGTCACCCCCACAAACCCCTAGCAGATGGAGGGCTGAGGTCCTCAGGTTGGAAGCTTTGCGCTTACAAGCTTAATCCCAAGGCCGTAGGGTTTAGGGTTTTGGGTTTAGGGTTTTGGGGTTGTGGGGTTGTAGGGTTTTAGGGTTTTAGGGTTTAGGGTTTTAGGGAGATTCAAGATCGCCCAGAGGCCTCATATCGTAGGGTCTTTTGGCCAGGAGGCCTTGCAATATGATTCCTTGGAGCCTTCAAGCCTTAAAGCCGCCATAGAACCATTACACGGCCTTGTCGAGCCCTTACACAGCCTTATTCCCTAAACTACCCCTAAACCCCTAAACCCTTAAGCCCCTAAACCCCTAACCCTAAACCCCTAAACCCCTAAACCTTGAACCCCTAAGCCCCTAAGCCCCTAAGCTGTAAGGGGTAGACCGAAGCTTCCCCAGCTGCTCGCAGGACATCGTGACTTCGGCCGCGGCCCATGGCAAGGAGGGGGTTTCGGGTTTAGGGCTTAATGGGGACCCTTATATAGGGTTCCTTAAAGGGATCTATAAGGATTCTATAGAGGGTTTAGGGTTTTAGGGTTTAGGGCTTGAGGGCTTTAGGGTTTGGAGTTTGGGGTTTAGGGTTTAGGGTTTGGGGTTTAAGGCTCTAGGGTTTAGACTTTAGGACTTTACGGCTTTAGGGTTTGGGGTTTTGGGGTTCAGGGTTTGGGGGTTTTGTGGTTCAGGGCTTTAGGGCTTCAGGGTGTGGGGTTAAGGGTTTAGGGCTTTAGGGTTTGGGTTTAGGGCTTTAGGGTTTGGGGTTTGGGGTTTAGGGTTTATTTATTGGGAGTTGGGATAGTTTCGGGTCTGATTTCCTGAAACTGGTAAAGCCCTACAGTCTACGGTCTCGGAGCCGAAGACGCATGCCCCAGACATTGGCATTTGAATTGCTAATCTGCGAGGGTTGTTCAAAAAGGGTTGAAGAGTTTTGGTTTAAAGCTTTAGAGCTTTGGGTTCTTACGCCATAAACCCTAAACCCTAAACCGGGTCAAGGATTGCAGTGCTTCGGCTGTACGTGTAGGGATCAGTATGGGGATTCCCTCGAGAACGGGGCCCCCCAGAGAAAGGCCCCAGAAACCCTAAGCCTCCGAAACCCGCCGAAACCCCCAAACCCTACATTTTTTGTAGGTTCTTATCATAAACCCTGTGGGACTTGTAGGGACCCTGCAAAACTGTAGGTTCTGGTAGGTTAAGGTAGACCCTAAAATGCAAGGATCCCACAGAAGAGTTGTCAACAGGAATGAATCTCGAGCAAGCAATCCGCATCTTGGGCTGTGGAGTTCTGAGTTTCAAACTTCAATGTTGGGCTTATCGGGTTGTATACACGCGTCTAGCTATATCTACTCATCTCCATCTCCTCTGTCTGCAATATACATGTTGCATATACATACTTACGCAACAATCCGCAACAAATGTACGAAAACCCTCTAATTGGTTGGGCTCTCCACTACCACGCCCGATTCAATCATCAGTAGGTCAGCAGGAGTTAGTATCTGGTCGCACCTCGACATGACTCCTTGGCCTGAAGTGTCCTTTGTTTGGATATCTTGTTTTCAATCTGTTAGATCTTAAACATTTCAGCCCAAATTCGAACTGCAACTTATATTAATCCTAAACCATCCACCATCGGCCGGAAGCGAACTCAAATCGCAGGACCAGCTGTCGAAGTTTCCCGCAGAGACGTTTGTCCAGCAGCTAGGGCAGAGGCGGGGACTGTTTACCCAGAGTCCCAGAGCCTAAACGTCTAGTGGGATTCTGCAGTACGCTAAACCCTAAACAGGGGGGAATGCTGATATTGGTAAGATTGGGCGGGTTATTATCTTTCGTCGGGAAAGGCTCAGCCTAGACAGCGGCAACAGCTGCCCGCTTGTCCGCGTATCTGAAGCTGGAGAAGCTGATCAATGCCGACGAGCCAGAATCTGATTTGTTCTGCAAGAATTACAAAGCCATCACCCTGCATGAGTTCAGGGCACTTGCTCCAACCACAGACTTTAACAGCTTCACATCCGCGCTGGTGCTCTATCATCCAATCCAAGCGATTTGCGACACCGCCTCACTGCTTGGCGAGCACTGAACAGCCTCTTCGATGTTGCAGATTACAAAGCACTACGGAAGAGGGCTATGTGGACATTTCGGGACACGGTCATGATTACGTACCAGTCTATGTCAAGCGTCAGGATCACCGAAGCTGTTGCACAAGCTGCAAAGCTCGCCCAGGCGATATTGGAACCTGAACTCCTCCGTTCCAGACTTTGGTTGATTACACTACTTCAAGGATCATGGGGCTTAGTAGGTAGGTTATAATTGGGGTTATAAGTCCCCTAAGTGGGGTTACCCTAATTATAACCTACTTATAACCTTACTTACTAAGTCTCATGAGCCTTCAAGTAGACCAACAACCGGGTACTTGGATAAAACCTTTAACCTCAAACCCCTAAACCTAAGCCCTCAACCCCGAACTGGGGACGTCATCTCCCAAAGAAGTGTTTTCTTTGGGGTTTGAGGTTTAGGGCTTTGGGGGTTTGGGCCTTGACATGAGTTAAAAATGTAAGACGAGGCTTTTAGGATTGAGGGTTTGTAGGTTTGTGGTGTTCGGGCTCATTGGATCCAACCCCTTTTGTATCAGAAGCCTGTAAGCTCCTGACACTTGTAGAACATACTAACGAAATCCTACAGGCTAAATTCCTAAATCCTGAAACCCCAAACCTCAAACCTCAGCCCTCGCCGCAAATCCTAAACCCTAGAGAACTGTAGCTCTCCCTAAATCCTAAACACTGAACCCTAGATCCAAAACCCTATAGGGAACTGAACCTCTCCCTACACCCTGAACCTAACCCTATATACATCCTAAACCCTAAACCCTAAACCCCTAAACCCTAAACCCTAAACCCCTAAACCCTAAACCCTAAATCCTAAACCCTAGAGAACTGGAGCTCTCCCTAAACCCTAAAAGCCTGTTTTGACCAGCTCGGCAGGATGAAGTTCAAGAACCCGAACATTCGCCAGTGCCTCCGCACGAACCCAGAGACTCCAAAACCCCTTAACTAAGGAGTATACCTTAAATTATAATAAGATGCCTAGTATGATTAAGGTATATTCCTTAATTAAGGGGTTTTGGAGTCTCTGGGAATGGCTCTGGGTGCTTGTTTTTGTCGGCTTTGAAGTTGGGGGTTTAGGGGTTTATAATAAGGAAATCCATGGTAAAAGCCAGAAAGTTGGAATATGATTATCCTAACCCTTCTATGGTAAATTATAGGGTATCCTACCATGAAACCATATTCCAATTTTGTGGAGTTCCCTGTATAAGGGTACTATAATAATGTAGGAACCTGATTCAGAAACCTTGGCCTTTTATTAGGGTTCCTTATATGAATCCTGTTATTTTGGGGTTATAGGCCCAGGGTTTCTAGATCAGGTTCGCACATTGAAGGGCTAGGGTTCTTGAAGTTGGTGGTTTAGGGGTTAGGGTTCTTGAAGTTGGGGTTTAGGGTTTAGGGTTTTGTTGAAGTTTGGGGACCTTAAACCCTGTACCTGGTTGAGGTTTGCCAGCGCCAACTGCATAGCTCAGATTGGTTCTCAATACTGCTCCCTCCTGCAGTGCCCATGTACACATATGTACAGTTATGCACTTTCGAGGGTGGCGCCTTCTCAGTCGCTTTTTCTTCTCAGAGCAGGGATCAGATTTCTGCAGCGGTGACAATCACCGGCCGCAAACACCCAAGACTCAATCGTGTAATGGAGGAAGCTGAATGATTGGAACAGGGATCCCAGTGGCCCAGGGTGCGTATATAGTATACTATGCACTAATGGTCGTGCAAAGTAAGAGCAAAGGGGATGAACAGTCTACACCTTCTGCCCTAAACCCCTAACAGAAAGGCTGTGCCTCGGCTGGACGACGCTGATCCTTGGAATCAACGGCATGGAAGCTGTCCGCCTCATGGCTGCAGCGATCGGTTCAGACCTACGCCAGAGATAGCTGTAGCGATTTAGCTTGCCAAGAGGGTCCGTGTATACATGTATGTGTATATATATATATATATATATATATATATATATTTTTATTATTATATATATACACACACACATACACATGCTCCTAGTATGGGATTAGGGCCCCAAAACCACGACAGGGGTGGTCTGTTGGAATCTAAGTCCATAATAGTAGAATATATGGACCCTTTGGGTTACCCCCCAAACTTGCTTTGTGTTAAGTAACAGAGTCTGTACTGTTCTTTCTTTGCAGGGTTCTGTTCGGGTTTAATCCGTATGCAACTGCTACTTGTAGCTGAGTTCCGGTCCGGGGACCGTTCCGACTTGCCTCCGTTTTTTCGTTTAAGGTTGGCGATCCCAACCCGAACTCTCAGAGCTGTTTGTCCGACGACGGGGTTCATGACTTCGATTTGTGCTCAGGGGTTTCGGGTTGAAGGGTGTCGGTATAACCATTTCCAGTATCAAAGGGGAAAAGGAGGGACCCTTGATAAGGACCCCTAGGTATACACCCTTAATACAGCCATTATCTACCCATTATATAGCCCCATTATCGGGCAGGGGTCCCCATTAAGGGTCCCTCCTTTTCCCCTTTGACAGTATCTGGGCGTGCTTTGTGTGTCGGACTTGTCTGCGTCACAACTTTTATGATGAGCTTAGTTTTTGTTGGTGCCATCTTCATTTGCTACTTGCACTGTTTCCTTCGCTTTGTTAATCTACAGAATCGTCCTTTCTCGGTGGTCGGGAGCAAGGCTGCTCTTTCCAAAACATTCTGCCATGAGTTTTGCGCTGTGCCTTGCGACACCCTAAACTCTAAACCCTAATCCCTAAACCTAAAACTCTAAACCTTAAACCTTAAACCCTAAACCTTAAACTTTAAACCCTAAACCTTAAACTTTAAACCCTAAACCTTAAACTTTAATCCCTAAACCTAAAACCCTAAACCCCAAACCAAATCGCCTTGGAGTCTACACCTCGTAAGTCTCGACCGAACCTCGAAACCCTAAAAAGCTTCGGGGCTGAGCAGGGAACCTTTAACCTTTTGGGGCTTACTTAAAGGATCATGGGACTTAGTAAGTAGGATATAATTGGGGTTATAAGTCCCCTGAGCGGGGTTAGTTATCCTAATTATAACCTACTTTATAACCTTACTTACTAAGTCCCATGAGCCTTCAAGTAGGGTTTGCGGGATCCTCTAAAGGGATCTATAAGGCTTGAGTAGGTAAGTTTTAGCCGTTTGGGGCTATAGTGGCTTCTGGGCTGAGTAGGTAAGTTTGAACTTTTTGGGGCTTCTAAAATCCGACTTCGAGAAGTTAACCCAATCCTTGTGGGCTGAGTGCCCCCTAAGAAGGTCTTTCAAGGAAGGCCTAGAGCCGTTTTGGGGAGACTTTCCGGCACTTCGAAAAGAGCCCTTCAAAAATCCCGGTTTGGGGTTTAGGCAGGCAGCAGCGACCGAACTCAGTACTCTCCACCCCTTCTTCGCGACCGCGACATTGCAGTTACCTTGTAGGTAGGGTTACTCATGCATAACTTCAGGCATACACTTGCTTCCCAGTCCTGTGATGGCCTCGTAGACTCCGACGAAGCTTCAAAACTGAATAAACTACCAAAACCTTGAAGCCTGAATAGCAGGCTCGCAAAACCCTGAATCCCCTTGCACGTTAGTGCCATTTGCAAGGGGTTTAGGGTTTGGGGTGTCTTGAAGGCTCAGGTGACTTCGAGAGTAGCTTCGATTACAGGGTTAAGGCTTCGCGGAAAGCTACGCCGTTTCAAAAGAGTTCCGCAAAGCCCTGTAGGCCCTATACCTTGAACCCTCTACACCCTGGAACGCTAAATCCTTCCGTGGCCCCCCGAGGCTACACGCCGATCTTCATCAACGAAGTGTTCGCTCCTTGCCTGCCATTCGTGCTTAGAGATATAGGGTTTTGGGATGCCTGCTGCAAGGCTTTGTGACATCCTCGGAGCTTTCAACCCTACTACTTATAGGCTCATGGCACTTAGTAAGTATGTATGGTTATGAGTAGGTTATAATTAGGGTAACCTCAGACTTAGGGGACTCATAACCCCAAGTGTAACCCACATACTAAGTCCCATGGTCCTTTGAGTACTACAAGGGATCAACTGAGGACATGTTGGCGGATGCGGACGACCGGCGTGACAGCAGGCACAATGCCGATAGTCTCCTGGATTTGCTCTTGACACAGGCCGGATCGACAGTTCATTGTTTCAGGGCTTTAAGGGTTCGTTTAAGGGCTCTAAACCCCTAAACCCTAAACTGTAAGAATAATCTTGGGGTGGTTGGGCTTCAGGGGTTTAGGATTGAGTTACGGCTTAGGGGCTGAATTGTTTAGGGTTGGGGGGTTTTGGGTTTTGGGTTTAGGGGTTAGGGCCGGACGGAAAATATGGGTTTTAGTGCTTTTTGCGGTTGAACGCATCGTACAGGATTTCAAAAAGTCTAAGGTACTCGGAGACTCGGAGGTTCAAGCTTTACACATTTATGTAACATTATGTACGCACATGCATTACTATTACCATAAGCCATCGTGCTAATCAACAAAGACAGGGCTTGGGGCAGAATGTTGACCCTGACATTTAAAGGGCATGGCCTTAAGTATTGGGATCCGGAATGTAGGCCTGATTAAGGGGGAGGGGCTATTGATCAGGGGAGCCAAATATTTGCAGGCCATCATGGTGTGGTAAGGGGCTAGTGCGTCCAACCGCCCATGCAGAGGTGCCATGAGGGGCGGGTCACTCAGTCTCACAGGCTTGACTACGGTGCTTGACACGACGAGCAGGAGTCGCACGTGGCTTTCACCAGTGATTTCCTCGTGGCGCTCTGGTTCGCCTTCGCCAAGGCCAGTCAAGCGAGCTCTAAGCCGGGCCTGCGAGGCAGAACCCGGAGAAGTCCGCGTGCTGGCGTCAATCGACCCCGGCAAGCACGCCACCTGCACGCTCGCCGAGGCCGCAGGTGCAGCAAGATGGTTTTGAGCCGACTCGTTGCGAGAGGCTCGATAGGATGGTGACTTGAGCATCACTTGCAAGCGGCGCCTAGTGTCCAGGGAGCATTTCAAGAAAGCCGTCGAGTGCTCGAGACGCTGCTATGCCGTGGTGCTTCTTTTTCGTCGCGAAGTTAACATGGAAGTTCACATACCCGAAAAAGGGAAAGCTAATGTCCCAGGCTTCGGTTCTGCAGCCCAAGGTTGTATAAAGGGTTGTGTAATGGGTTCAAAAATTGCACGTGACATGGACTTCCATAGTATGTTCTGTAATTGGCTTTATCAAGAATTGCAGAATGGGTTTTCGTAGAGGGTCTGGTTTCAGGTTAAGGGGCCGGGCCCTGTTGTCTTGGGTTTTGGGTCTTGGACTGATGTGGGGTTTAGAAAGTTTAGAGCTTAGAGTTCAGAGTGTTGGGTTTGAATACTGGTCCCTTATAGCGACTCCACATACTGTAGTTACTGTATCATTATCTAGTCAATCTCCCAACGGCCTATGCACAAATAAAGGTCCCTACTTGGGCGATTTGGAACCTTTGGGTATCGAAGCTAGACCCGAAACCCTAAACCTAAACCCTAAACCACTGAAGCCCTAAACCCCAATTGCCCCAGGTGAAGGAAAGCCCCCCGGAGCAAGCTATGCAGATGCTCGGCTGAAACTTCAGGGTTTTGGGATCTGAGGTTGGGGTTCCAAGTAATCTAAGGTAAAAGCCAGAAAGTTGGAATATGATTATCCTAACCCTTCTATGGTAAATTATAGGGTATCCTACCAAGAAACCATATTCCAACTTTCTGGAGTTCCCTGTAGGGGTTCAAGGTGTAAGGTTCGGTTCAGTTCAGGGTTTGGGGCTTCGGGTTTAGAGGTTTGGAAAGGCGAGCGGGAGGCGCTGTTATTGTGTAGGTAGGCACTTGCATGTTTGCCTCTCTGCCTCCGCACCTCCTTGTCCGGCTGCCTGCATACCTGCCTGTCTGTTTGTTTGTTGACCTGTCTGTGTTTGAATCTACCTAATCTACGTGTCGCTAATGACCTATACCTACTGATCTCTAGATCTGTCTCTGGCCTATGTGTGCGTTTATATATAATTGGATATACATGGATATGTATGTCAGTATATATATATATATATGTGCAAAAGCTTATATGTATATATGTATATTGATGTTTGTATATATAGTTATATGAATTAATACATACATACATGCATGCAGACATACGTAGATACATACATGCATACATACATAGATACATACATACGTATATATATATATATATATATATATATATATATGTATATGTATATATATATATATATATATATATATATATGTATACACCCCAATGTATTAACATGCTAAGCTGTAAAGCTGTATGTACTAATGTATATACACACGTATATCTATATCACATGCTCACATCTAGATTGTTCTAGATTTACTCGTGCTTTTCCTGGTCAGGTTGGCAGGTTGTTGTTGAGGGTTGGGCATGTGAGAGGTCCAGATGTGGTGTAGTTGCGAGGGCAAGCAGGAAACTTTCCAGAGCAACCACACCTGCATTCTTATTAGGGACATCGGGATCTGCATTCTTACTAGGGGCATCGGGAACACGACAAGACGGAGATGTGAAACGAAAGCCCTCCAGGATTTGCAATGGTTCAGGCGTCGTCAAGCGAATCTGGAGACTAGCACTGTGGAAACAAGCGCTGCGAGCCCTGAAGCCGTAAAACAGGGAGCTACAAGCGGTCGTGAAAACTCGACTGTTGACCGCTGTTGGCCCAGCGCCAGAAGGGCGTATTTGGGGTTTGCGGTTTCAAGACTTGGGGCTCGCAACACTCGCAGCCGCATCCCACAGATGTCCAGGATTGTGTTCCACACGTTGGGGGCCCTGGCAGCCAACTGTGAGAAGGAAGACAAGTGCATCCGCTTGTGTGCCCTCTGTTTCTCGGCTCAACAATCCGCACCAACCCTAAACTCAAAGAGCCGAAGCGAGCTAAGCTTTCAACCGAGCAGCATGTACACAAGTTTGACCCAGGTGACTTGTGTTTTCGAGACGCTAAAAACGTATGTTGAATGGCCACCGCTAAACCCCAATTATTGGTAGGGTCTAGCGGTTATATTATATGATTAGAGTACAAACACTACTTAAATCATGAAGCCCTAAATCTTCTACCGCAAGCCAGCCGTGTGAAGTCGTAAACAGCACTTCCCGGAAGCAATGGTGCATCTTAACCCACCAGAACGTGTGTTTTTGCTTTATGGGATCCGCGAAACTATGTATAGGAGAATGTGTATTGAGGCCCTACGAGCAAGTTTACTACAATTTATGGTAGCTTAAGGTAGGGTGCATCCATTAGGATGTTTGTTCCTTTAGCGTTTGTACCCTACACCCTAAAGCCGCAAAACCCTACCACCCTACAGCAAACCCCAGAAGGTTGGAGCATGGGTTTAGGAAGATTACCGCTAGACTTCTTATACTATGCCTCAAAGGCACGAGGATTAGAATGTGCCAACTTTATGACTTCTGCTATGAACTATAGACCGAGGATCCCGATGCGGAACCCCTTACCAAGGCGTAAATCCCGAACTCAAAACCAGGGTTTACGTGTGGTTTCGTATTTTTTCAGAAAGTGGTTTAGGGTGTAACTCTCAAGCTTGACCCCATAGCCCCTTCAACCGTTAACCCGGGATTCTGACACAACCAACATCCTCCAACTTGATGATTTGAGTCAGAGCTCACGTTACACTAACGAAACGGGCTTCAAAACCCTTGAACCCTCAGCTTTAAACCCAGACTCAGAAAGTAGAAAAGCAATCTCTAATCCTTAAACACTTTTCGGCACAATTCTCTTGAAGCAAAGCAGCCGGTAGCCAGAACAGCTACCTTCAGGACCCACCGTGTAATAAGGTTCAGGGTCTAGGGCTTAGGGCCCACATAGCTTAGACCATGATGTTGCATCACGTTTGAGCGTTTGGCAGGGTGGAGTTTGGGGACAGGGCTCCACCGTCTGTCATAAGTCTCTGCAGCACTGGGCCAGTTTCGGACTTACTCCTCACTCCCTAAACCCTGAACCCTGAGCCCTAAACCCTAAACCCTATAAACCCTGAACCCTGAGCCCAGGCTGGCTCTACGAGTACGTCTACCTCACTCCAGGCTTTACACCTCCTGGGAAGGCTCCCCCGCGATTTACCAGGGTTCAATTCTCACCTGTCGGATTTGGTGTCGCTTTGCCTTAAGGTTTCTTAAAGTGTCTATTTCTCCCTGTCTCTCTCTCTCTCTCTCTTTCTCTGTTGCTCTCAAACAATATATATATATATATACACACACAATATAACACAATCTAATATATTAATATATCCGTATATGTTTATGTGTATACATATATACATATGTATATATAGATATTGCAATATGCAGCCTTAGGGTTCATTTTAGGGTTCAGGGTTACCCGGAATCAGAGGCGGTTCTTGTGCTTCCATGGGTTGAAGGCTTCCCTAAACCCTAAACCCTAATACAGTAAACCCCATAAAGTTGGAAACCGGATTAAGGCCAAATAGTGCTGGGATTCCCTATACCCTACTCTTGGGGATGGAGGCTATTGGGTTTCCAACTTTTGGGCTTCTTCTGTAGTGCGTTGTCCTGTCGAGGTGGGGTTTCTTGAACCCTGAACCCTAAACCCCAAACCCTGGTTCCTTTCAAGGGTTCCTTATAAAGGGGTCTATGAGGATGACTGTAAAGGGTTCTTATGGGGGTTTGATATGGGGCCTCAAAATCATTACCTACACTATTTTAGGGCTTCCTTATTATGCTTATGGTATATGAGCCCCGAACCCCTATTCTAACAATCAAGGCCCATATATTAAACCCTAAACCCCTGAACCGCGAAACCCTAAACCCCGAAATCCTGTAGCTAGGATGCCCAGTAGTACCCTTATTCCCTTTTTGTAGTCCTAGGTTCCTTATAAAGTTACCCAATACCAAAAAGAGAGGCCTTTTTATTCTTAGGTTACTGGGTATCCTAGGTAGGGTTTTGGCGAGGGCGTATAGATCTCGGACCGTGGGCTTTGGTTTGGTTTTGGGCTTCGGGTTTACTTGGAGGATCGTGGGACTTAGCAAGTAAGGTTATAGGTACCCTAATTGGGCTTTAAGTACTTATATTATTATATGTATGGTTACCTTACTTGTAACCCTACGTACTAAGTCTTTTGGTCCTTCAAGTAGGTTTCAGGTTTTGGGTTGTGTAGAGCTTGGAGGGCTTCAGCTAAGCGACGCAGCACGTAGCCTGCTGTGAAATTGTTCGGAGACATTTTGAGACTATGTGTAGACTACGTGACTATAAGGTTGAGGGATCCGGTGGGATCGACTGAAACCCGAACTGCCCAGGGCGGGCAGGGGCTCTTCTAGACTAAGCCTGTGCTTACATGAACTTGCAAGCCCTACAAGGCCGATAAACTCAGCCACACCACATATTGGCTGTTGTGGTTGCGGGGTCGTAGGAATTTCGGGCTTGGGCGGTGTCGAGCTCACACTGAAGCCTGGCCTCCGGTGTTGAGGGCTAAGAGAGTTTAGGGCTTTGGGTTTCGGGTTTCGGGCGGGGTGTTTAGAATGGGAACCGAAATTAAACGACTACCTTCGCCGTCAGCATCGGCAGGAGGAGGACATGGACGAGGACACCGTGTCGCAACCAGCATGGCCGTGACCCCTATCTCATGCCCGGAGAACTCAAGCACCGTAAGTTGAAGAAACCCTCAAAATCTCGTGCGCAACCATGAGAACTAGCAGGCTCATGTCGGACAGCTGCTGCAAGTCAGTATACGTAGGTCACCGAGTACTGACAACAGCATCGTAGCGGAGCCACCAAGATGTTGAACTCTAAGTCCAAGCCTTGTGGGGCCTCCAAATTTGTGAAGCCTGCAATTTGGACCAAGGGTGGGCAGCGAAGCTTCTCTAGGATGCCCAGTAGTACCCTTATTCCCTTTTTGTAGTCCTAGGTTCCTTATAAAGTTACCCAATCCCAAAAAGAGAGGCATTTTTATTCTTGGGTTACTGGGTAGCCTAGCTACCCTACGGGACCAAGTGCTCAAACAGCAGGGCTTTAGGCTTCAAGCTTAACCCCTCGGACTTGCAGAGACTGTGCACCAGTATAGTAGGCAGAGCAATAGAGCCGACACTAGGTGCTGAAAATGCATCTCAGGGTGTAGTCTCTCACTAGGATGCTCAGTAGTACCCTTATTCCCTTTTTGTAGTCCTTGGCTCCTTATAAAATTACCCAATACCTAAAGGGAGCCCTTCTTATTCCTAGGGTTATTGGGCATCCTAGCTCAGACCCAAACAGCATGAGTATCTAGGCACTTGGACCTTGGGGCTTCTTGAGACTAATCGCTGTCAAGCCCTACACAGCCCTAAACCCGACATCCTAAACCATAAACCCTGAATCTAGCGAGATGAGGAAGACTGCAAAACTAGCATCAGGACTAGCAAAGTAACCAGAGGTGAGGATGCTGACGATGATGGTCTAACGGCGAATCCTAAACCCTAACCCCCCCACCCTGCCCTAGAGCCTAAACCCAAAACAGCCGTGAGTACCGTAGCAAAAAGGCCGAAGGCTTGAATCAAAGCCCTCAACCCTCAAAAACTTGAACCCCCACACCCAAAACCTTAAACCTCCAAACCTCAGACCCTAAGACTCGAAGCCCTAAGCCCTAACCCACTAAACCCCCAAAGACCTGCACCCTGAAGTCCCCAACCAAAATGCAGTATCAGCAACTGCAGTTTGACGAAGTAGCCTCCGTGAAATAGCCTCAGTAGAAATTACCGAGTTCTTGCTTTATTTCAGGACCCCTAAACATCTGGTCTTGGGTTTTGCCGTATTTCAGCTGTTGCGCTCCACATGCAGGATATGAAAAGGATGCGGAGCAGCTTGGCTAAGGCTATTCAATTCCAAGTCCGGTGGGTTGTTCAGGGGCTAGGCAGTGTTTTTGGTAGGCTTGTTCACGTGTTTGGTAAAAGTTTTTTCTGCTGAGCCCTAGACCCTTAACCCGAAAGGCTTCTTCTTAGATTGACATAGCACTGCCGGTCATAGCAGTAGATCCAGCTACTAAGTCCGCTGATCCTCCCAATCGCCTCGACCATCCTGGAATATACAAGACCCTTCGCCCTGAAAGCTCACAGCGAACGGGTGAATCCCACCTAGCTCTCTGGCAGTTCTTGTTTCTTTTGGACTACTCATGAGATCCACGACGACACCCCAAACATCCTACACCCTTGTCGCTGTGGCCTAAGCGCAAGTTCATAGGCTACAATTGCAAAAGGGTGTGTTCATGCCCAGAACTCAACAAAACCTCAAGCCGACACCCAGCAGCGCCGCAAAACAAACCCGGAAGCTAAGCGCACACCCTGAAAGCACTTCAATCCTAAACCCCCGAAAACCGCAAACCCTAGCAACCCGTCTAGATCCTTGAAAGGAACCTACCATAGATCCCTTACACGAACCCTAAACCCCTAACTACCGTAACCCCCTGAAAAACCACGCGAGCGCCAAGACCTGCTTCTTGGGTGGCGGAAGATGTGGGGTGAGGAGCTCCCGTAGCCCGGCACTAAACCTTTAGATGAGGGCCTACATAATAATTGGGCTCTTGTAAGGGTTCCTTTTAAAGGGGTCTATACGGATTACTATACGGTTCTTAAGGGGATTTAATATCGGGGCCTCAATAATTACCAAAAAATGTTGGGGGTTCCTCATTGTAATAAGTCTAGTATAATGGGCCCCCAAACCCCGTTCTAATCATTCAGGCCGCTATATTAAGCCCGAAACCTTCAACTTCAAACACTAAACCCTAGTTTCTCGACTTTGGGCAGACATCAAATCGGGGCTTACGAAAAAAAACATAGTTTCGGGGCCTGAGCAATTTCTTGAGGGTTACTGTCTAGTATTTACGGGGACCCCCGAAGTGCCATGGTCCTTAATTGTGAATACTTACGTAGGGTATGTGAAAGGCTAGTTGGGGGGTGTATAGGGGGGGATCTTCTAGATATGGAGGGTCGCACTGGGTTTTGTAAGGTTAATATAGATAATATAGTAGATGATATGGTTTTAACATGTAGAGGGTCTGTATACCGTGGCCGGAATATGTCCAGCAGGTTTTTCGGGTTGTGATACTACAGTCATAAGCAGCAACTCCGAGGAACAGTGTTTCGATTTCCCCGGGCTTCTGCGTATGTTGAGGCTGGGGCCATTGCAGGGTTAGGGTAAGGGCTTTGGTGTCTTCGACTTCACGCATTGTCGGAATGAAGGTTTAGGGTTGTGTTGTTCTAGATGGGGGCCCTCAAGCTTATCCACGTGCCTCGCTGCCGTCACCGGTTTGCTAGCTTTGTTCTCGCGGCTGCTTGGCAGATCTGTTGGCTTTGGAAGTTGGGAACTTGGGAGTTTCCGGGCTTGTTTAGAGTTTAGGGTTTAGGGTTTAGGGTTTAGGGTTTAGGGTTTAGGGGCGGTGATTCTTGCTTGCCGTAGTGGGGTGTGTGAAGTCTTGCACGACTTCTCAGGGAGGACTGGCTCGGATCATGGGCTCTGTCTCAACGTATACACCCCATTGCCGGCCCTAAGCACTAAACTCAAAAGCCCTATAAACCCTCAACCTTAAACTGAAACCCTACTGAAACCGTAGTCTCTGAACCCTAAGTCCTGTGACTGCTGAATCACAGGCTCCTCCTAACCCTTAAAGTCAGAGCACTAACTAATCCTTCAGAAATTCAGAGCCCAAATTTATGGAACCCTCAGCTCTGAACTCCAAATCTCTAGGGTCTTCGTGCGGGGTATGCAAGGAACTCTTTGGAATGATACGGTGGATGATATAAATCCTGCATTACCTTAAGGACCCTAAACTATGGGAATTATGGTATATTCCTTATTATGGGTAGTGCAGGATTTATATCATCAACAGTATCATGCATTTTTCGCCCGAAGCTCGTGAGGTTCAGCGCCTTAGGGCCTTGACAGCTTGGACAACCGATGAAACGGCAACGGAAAAGCTCAGCATATCAAAAGCCTCCATGACCAGGATGAAGGTAGGTGGGGTAATCGATAAGAGTCGTCATAAAAAATGGATCCTTAATCCTACCCAGTTTCATCCCACCTTTTCAAGCCTCCGAATAGATGAAGGCCATACAGCTGACGGGTCTTACAGTAGAAGCCCAAAAGTTGGAAACCCAATAGCCTCGATCCCTAAGAGTAATGTGTAGGGAATCCCAGCACTATTTGGCCTTAATCCGGTTTCCAACTTTTAGGCTTTTACTGTAGGTTTGTGCTACTCAGGCAGCTTCTCCCGGGAATCTTCAAGTGCATCACTGACAAGGAGAGAGTGGAGTGTCGGGTTTAGGGTTGAGGGTTTAGGGGTTAGGGTTGAGGGTTTAGGGGTAGGGTTAGGGGTAATTAGGGGGTTTAAGTCTAGACGGTGGAGGGTGTTTAGGGTGCTGAGGGGGTTAAGGTGCTTTAGGGTTTCTGGGCTCAGGGATCAGATGCTGACTGTGTCAAGGTTGGTGGCTCACGGGTCCCATAGCTTCTGTGTTCTGGTGTTCCAGCACAGGGGCTTGAGGGCGCTGCTGGTGCTTGTCCTTTGCAATTGCCATGCTACCGGGACGAAGAATTTCCGTATTCCGTGCCCTCACGGCTTGATTGAGAGTCTCTGTGTCACGGGCTTGGCTGCATAGGGTTTAGGGTTACAGAGGCAGTGCTTAGGCATGAGATTGTAATGCCCTTGCCGCAGATCTACAGCCTCGTATCAGTTCATGTTTCGTGGCCCGTGCGAAATGAACCCCACGCCTCCCCCCGCATGCTGAGGGTCGCGGACTAGCAGTATAGGGATTATCTTGCTGCATAACCGCCATAGAACTGTAGAATTGTAGCAGACATTTTGATTTAGGGTTTAGGGTTTCAGGATTATTCACTTCAATCAAACCATCCAGGATACCTAGTATTCGCTTGTTGCTATTGTTCCGGGGGCCTGCGTCGTGTATAGCATAGGAAAACGGAATCCCGCTCTGTTTGAGGCGCTACTTGGATACGATGTAGATCATATTGAACCTTAAACCTCAAACCCTCAACCCTGAGCCTAAATCCCCCAAGCCCTACCTGTTCGACCCTAAGCTAAACCCCTAAAGCCCTAAACCCTAAACCCTGAACCCTAAATCCGGGACCCCAAGCCCTGAGCATTAAGCTTTGGACTTAATCTTAAAGCCCTGAATCCTGGAGCGGGCCTTTAGGGTATAGCAGGGCTTAGGATGGTTCAGGGATTAATGATTAGTGTTTGGGGTCTAGGATGGTTTCGGCAGTGGGGTTTTAGGGTTTATGGTTTAGGATGGTTTAGGGGATTGGTTGACTTATAGCCCCATAACCTCAAAATTGACCTGTTTACTATGGCCCTTGAGCTTTCAAGCATCGATAGAACCCTGGCAGTCGTGGCTGCAGGAGAACGAGGTGTCTCTAATGGCCGTCGCGACTCGGCTTTTCTTACCTTTGGTTAGTAGGGAATGGAAGAATGGTAGTAATAGTAGTTATAACCATACCCCATTCCTCCATTCCCTACTAACCAAAGGTAAGTTTTGTGCTAGGCGCTGCTTGCTGGGTTTGGGTGTTGAGGTTTCGGGGTTCTCATACTGGCTGTAAACTCAACTTTTCAACTTTTGGGGTTCTTATAAGGTAGTCGAGTCTGAAAGTTTCAACTTTTATTCCCTTGGGTTTTGGGCCAGTGAGTTCTTTACGGCTTACACCCTACCGCAGCCGCCCAAACCTAGTTTTTGAGGCCACATACAAGGAAGCCCGAAATGGCCCCCTTAAAATCTAGGTTTCATTTGAGGGTTTCCGAAAATCGGGGGACCCTAAAATATAGTGGGATCCTTATTATAAGGACCCCAGAATAAGGTACCCCGAATGTTTCGGAAACTTCCATGTATGCGTGAAGGTAACCCTCCCCGCCTAAAGCTTTCAACCTTTCCAGGCAAAGTCACGAAGTCACGAAGCCCGAAATCCAGCATCTAATGATCTGCATGAACCTCAGGGACCCAAAGCACACACACATAAACATTTTATGGAGATATCCCTACGTTGTTGGCTTTCCTTTTAAGGGGGTTTATATGGGATATCACTATCCTTAGTTTTGCTTATGTGTTTTTTGGGACCCTGGAGCCGTTAACAAACCTAATCCCTTGGCCCGCCACCCTGACTAAACCTGCAATGTCTAGGGATCTACACCCTAAACCCTAAACCGTAACCGTCCTAAGCCCTAATGTAGGAACCTGATTAAGAAACCCCGGGCCTATAGCCCGCAAAATAGTAGGGTTCATATAAGGAACCCTAGTAACGGCCCAAGGTTTCTAAATCAGGTTCCTGCATTAGCCTAAACCCTTTCAGGATCTGAATAACAGCCTACTGGATCTGGCTCATCGACTGGGTGACAGCCTTCCCGTCCAGGCGTGCTCTCAGCTGCATTTGAGTAGGGGTTCGGGGTATAATGATAATGTACTTATGAAAAGCCGTAAAGGCATATTATTACTCTATCAGTATACCGGTTGCTATGTTACTTCTGTTTTGCGACTTCCACCGGCTCAATGGCTCTGTTTTTCTTGCGCCTGTATCTGTTGGCTTTTACAATACTCCTAGCAACTCCTAGAGGCACGACGAGGTGGAGCAGCAGGAGGAAGAAGTCGAATGTCATGTACATCATTGTTTCCATGATTGACTACAGATCGCGATTGCCATCAGCAGTCACCATCGCCAGCCCCGCCACCCACGACGACGACAGCTTCCATGTGTGCTGCCGCCGTGGCTACTTTCACAGCTCCTCCTTCTGTTGGTGGTAGTAGTAGTTGCGGTCGTCCAGTACCACTGCCACCGCGACTGCCGCTGCCACTAGCACTAGCACTAGCACCAGCACCAGCACCAGCGCCAGCACTACTACCACCACCACCACCACCACTACTACTACCACCACCACTACTACTTCTACTACTACTACTACTACTACTACTACTACTACTACTACTACTACTACTACTACTACTACTACTACTACTACTTACGACTGCTACGGCTGCTACTACTACTACTACTACTACTACTACTACTACCACTACTACTACTACTACTACTACTACTACTACTGCTACTACTACTACTACTACTACTACTACTACTACTACTACTACTACTACTACTACTACCACTAATAGTGTTGCTAGTACGACTACAAAAAACCGCTAACCAACAAAGAATTCACAGATTGCATTCTAAACGCCCATCCATAAATCGTAAAATCCCTGTACCCTAAGTACCCTAAAGTACCCCAAAACACCGTAAGTACCCTAAACCCCAAATTGCATAATCCCAGGCTGGTGGCCAAACTCAGCGAGCTCCTCGTTGCCCAGGGGCCGGGCACTCGCCAGTTGACGGGGTTGGTTTTCTGTTTCGGAGTTCTGTTCACGGTTGCATAGAGTTTGGCGTGGGGCTTTGCACTTTTTGTTGCGGTTTAGAGAATGGTTGTGGGCTTTATGATGGCTTCGGATGGTGTTTTTTGGGGGGTTCCAAAGCCCCCAAGCCTTAAACCCTGCGTTACCCATAACAAGGAATATACCATAATTCCCATAGACTAGGGTCATTAAGGCAATGTAAGATTTGTATCATATCCCTAAACCCGAAACCCTAAACCCTATTTAATATCAAACCCTAAACCTTATAGATCCCTTCTAGGCACCCCTTTAAGGTACCCTTATAGATCCCTTTTAAAGGACCCCAGATTTAAACCACCGAAGTTCAGCCCTCAGTCGTGAAGTCCCTGGCTTACTTTGCCCTGAGCTCCAGGAAGCGGCCGGAGGGCGAGGCCGGGAGGGGAGGAAAATGGCTGAGGGTCCCAGGGTTTGGGGTTTAAGGTTCTAGGGTTTAGGATTTAAGGTTTAGGATTTAGGGTTTAGGGTTAATTAAGGGTTTAGGGTTGTTACGGGTCAGGGATGCTCAGGAATTAGTGTGTAGGGCTTCAGGTTCAGCGTTTCGGGTTTACTTAAACGCGCATTTGACTTAGCAAGTAAGGTTATAGCTATGGTTCTAATTACGACAAACCTGCTTCGGGGAATGTAGAACCCCAAATACAACCCTACTTACTAAGTCCCTTGAGCCCTTAAGTAGAGTTCACAGCTATGGGCAGTTATAAGTAGGGTTCTAAGTAGGGTAACTATACCTATAACCCATATCAGCGTACTCAGAACCCCACTTATAACTACCCATGAACCTCCAAGTATGTTATGGTTAGTACGAGGACGGTGTTCATGATGATGGTGCCTGGGCCGAGACCATAAATCCTGTGAGGCATGTTGTGAGTTGTATTTGTTGGCCGCGTTTTCTTCGCAGGTAGGATTCAGCTACTCATTGCTGGGTCGGTTCATGCGGTTTTGAGTTCATGAGATTGCAGCCTAAAGCCTAAGAAAGCTCAAAAACTTCAAACTTCACCCTAAACCCTCATGAAGCATGAAGGTCCAACTGCCATAGGTTCCAAGCCATTGTCCGGCTTCGCTATTGCCCAAATCTTAAACTTTGTGAGTCTCTAAGCATGATTCTGAAAGTTGAAACCCTTGAGTGACTTGGAGATCTGGCAAGGAAGTAACCCCCGAACCTTCAAACCCCAGCCCCTAAACCCCCAAACCCCCAAACCCTAAACCCCTAACCTTGGAGGCTGTCAGACTCTGTCATGCAGACTCAAAAAGGCCCTCAACAAAACTAAACCTAAAATCCGAAGAAGCTCTGCATGCAGGGGCCGATGGTGGTTCACATCGCCTGCCTTCAGCTGCTAGGAAGCACTGTGCTTCCCTGTCATGCTCGAGGGCTTCAGGGTGCAAGAGCTGAAAGAGTTGAGCGTAATTTCTAGGTTTAAGGGTTCAGGGTTTAGGGTTTAGGTAATTTCTAGGTTTAAGGGTTTAGGGTTTAGGGTTTAGGAGCATGCTTAAAGCATCTTAAAACAGCAGGAACTGCAACCTCCTCCACCATGGTCGGGCGTCGTCCTGATCATCAGTCACACCAACGTCATTGTCTTCATCCTCGTCCTCATCCTGATCACTGTCATCATCATCATCAACACCACCATCATCACCATTGCAATCGCCAGAGTCGTCACAATACTTAAACTGATTAATGCAGCATGTTACGGCATTGGCCGTATGATAGGTATATAATATTGTTGGAGCACTGCCAGGTAGAGGACAAGACCCTTTAACCAGAAACAACAGAATCGCACGGCACATTTCCTTGCAGGCCTGTGTAAACTCACTTTTTGCATGCTAAACCTCTCAAGACTGGACCCTACCCTGCAGCCTACATAGACCCCAAACGCGTGGACCCTGGACCCTGAACCCATCAGCCCCAAACTAATAAATGTTAAACCACATAACTAAGTCAGGGTTCGAGGTTTAGGGGTTAGGGTTTTTAGGGTTCAGGGTCTAATTGACCTTGATTTTTTGTAGGGTTCGATAATAGTCTTTTTGGATTCTGCTATCCCAATAGTAGGGCTTAAGCCTCAACATAGATATGCTTTCATAGTATAAGGATATAGATATAGGGCACTTTGAATAAGGGTCGTTTGGTCCTAATGGCAGCATTGTCCCGTTCTTATTCTGAAGCACTGAACAAAGGGAAAAGGGGTTAATCTTACGATAAGGAGAACCAGGAATGGGGTTTAGGGGATATTTGAGCGACGCATGGTTGACGGGACCAACTGTTACGGGACGGGGTTTAGGTGTTGGGGCACTAGGTAGGAGATTTAGAGTTTCTAGGATGCCCAGTAGTACCCTTATTACCTTTTTGTAGTCTTAGGTTCCTTAGAAAGTTACCCAATACCAAAAAGAGAGGCCTTTTGATTCTTAGGTTACTGGGTATCCTAGGTTTAGAAGGGGTGAAGATGTTTTGCATATTTAGACGAGACCAGCCGAGGTGGATCTGTTTGCTTCTGTCAGACAGCCCAGCAGCAATGCTCCGGAAAGGCCACTTTGCTGAACATTCGGCAATGGGGTTGCGAAGTACTGAATAATAGGGTTCCCTTTAAGGGTTTAGGGTTTAGGGTTCCTTTTAAGGGTTCTATAGTAGGGTTCCCTTTGAGGGTTGGGGTTTCGGGGTTCAGGGTCCTCCTACCGGACGGGGAGGGCAGGGGATGGGGACCTAAGGACGAAATGAACCCTGAAAGGGTTAGTTTAAGGTTCGTCTACCATATAGGGATTCATAGTACATGGGTATAGGGCCCCTACTTTTAAGGGTCATCTGGTCCTTCACAGAGGGGGGTGATCTGCTGCACAGCTCATAGAGACGAGAGGGGGTTGGCCGCAAGATCTGCCCTGAAGTGCAACTTCGTTGCAGAGTCCTGGCCTTTTCCAGAGTGGCAGGAGACTGTAGAGACCCTAAACCCTAACCCTAGTCCCTTAGAGAATCTAGAAAGTAGATCCCCTAATTTGGGGCCCTATACTACTAAGGGTACTTTATTGGAACCCCCATTAAGGGATCGACGTTTTGGATCCTCCCGGGGTCTGGGAAACGATCCTGCAGACGTCGGCCTCACCCCCTTGGCCGGTGCTTGTTGTGCTCAGTGCTTCTGCGCAGGCGGCTAAACCCGCCGAACATTTTGGGGGTTCCTTATTCTACTTGTGGTAGAACATACATACCCCAAGCCCTATTCTAATCATTCAGGCCCTCTATCAGGCTGGCCGATCCGGCAAGGCTAGCAGATGGCAAGTGGTGCCCTCACGAACGGTTGCCACGCCACCAGCTATAACTTCCTCACAGAAGCCGAGGAGAGAGACCCGACAGTGAAAGAGCAGGTCTAGGTGCTGGGGAGGATGGCCTACAGCGCTGTGAGCCAGGGAAGACCTGGATGGATAGGCTACAACTGAGTCCAAGCTGAGGCAAGCCTACACGTACAGTTTTCCATAGGGAGATCATCCGAGTGTTTGCTTACATTAGCCCTCGCAATCTCCGATCCCCGCCTGAACCTGAACCGTTGCAACAAAAGCCTGCGTAGCAAGATGTGGCTCCTTTAGGGCCAGGGGCATATACATGCCAGGGTTTTCTATGTGTCGCCATCGTATAGGAAACTCAAAAACCCGAATCTACTTGTTAGTTCTTTAGGTGGGCCACGCACATCTACACGATAACCCGAGAAGACTACAGACCATTGATTTAGAACCCTGCCTTTACAGGGCATGCAGCAGGGAGCACACTATCAGGGCCTGTCAAAGGAAATGGGCTCATGAATCAAATATCTACCCAGACCCTAAACTCTTAAGTTAAATCCTAAACCCCCAAACCCTGAACTCCTTAAGCTCTACTAAGCCTCTAAACCCCTGACCCGTAAACCCTAAAGCCCCCAAACCCCCAAACCCCTGAAGCCTAACTGAGCCCAGAAACCTTGAAAGAGCTCTTCATGCCCATCTTCGAAAGTCTGCTTCATCCCAACGACGAGGCGGGCGTGTTTGGGTTTTGGCCTAGTAGCCGAGTGGATACACTTTACACTTTTGGGGATAATATTACCCACTGTAAAACTGTTACCCACTATAAAACTGAAAGTGTACACTTTTTTGGGTCTTATGAACTCAGCAACTAGGTGGTTGAGGTCTAGCATCCCAACAACGAGCTGAGCCCTAGAGTCGGAGCCTTAAAGCATAGGGCCTCATATTGAGTCAAGCTTAGGGTGTAGGGTTATATGAGATCAAACTTGGACTCTATTTTATAGTCGTATATGGGGTCAGGAAATGTGAGTATATGAACAGTATGAACTACAAGAAACCTACCTTCACAATAATTAAGGTCTAGTTGAGTAGGTTTATATGCGATCTAGCCGGAGGCTACCTCTTGCTTTTTGGGGTTGGGGCATATGGTTTACCCTTTCGGGATGCAGGGTTTAAGGTGCTTTTTTTCTGGACTAGGGCGCAGGCGCCTGTGTGTTCGGGTTCTTGGTTTGGGCTGTGGTCTAGGGGGAGGCCAGGGAGCTCGGGGTGCAACAGGGCTTTCAAGTCTGCCTAGCAGATAAACAACCGAACGTCGATATGACGATATGGCAATTTATTCATGCAGCTGCGAAAGTTGTTACAGCCAGCTCCTGCTGTGGCATTCCGTTCACACCCTATTTCTTGGCCCTTTCCTTTGCTTTAGGGCAGCAAATTTTGTTGCAAGGTTATTGGGTACGCTGGCCTGTCCTCTAAGGAGTAATCCCTATAATGCCTCGACCCCGTTAACCCCTAAACCCGAACTCCTTATCCCTCCCAGGACTCCCCAAGTACCCTTTAAAGGGCTCTAATATTTCTCATGAAGACGTTATCAGGGATTACAATAAGGGGTAGTTGGGGGGGGGTCTAGGTCACCGATAAAGTTTCGCGCTTCTCTGTTTTGTGTCGTGGGTTCGAAGGAAATGGGAGATCCGGAGTGCTGGCTTTATGGTAGAAGCCAGAAAGTTGGAACATGAGACTCCTCATGCCCTTAAGGTAAAGTATAAGGGATCCTAGCACTAATCCTCCTAAAGCCATGTTCCAACTTTCTGGTTTCTACTGTAGTGGCTTGCCTTAAGGACGAAATGAGCCCGAAAAGGGTTTAAGGTTCGTCTACCATATAGGGATTCATAGTACATGGGTATAGGGCCCCTACTTTTAAGGGTCATTTGGTCCTTCAGGTAGGGTTTAGGATTTTGGGTTTAGGGTTTAGGGATAAGACGGATAAGCTGGTGAAGCCGCATAGGACACCCGAAACCCGCTTATGATTCAGAGGTTTCAGGGTTCAGGGTTGGGGGTTTAGGGTCAAAAACCGTGCTTAGAGGCCCAAGGGACTTAGCAGCTTTGTAAGGTTATAATAATAAGGTCATGATGGGGAGAACCCCACTGAGGGAACTTACAACTCCAATTACAACCCTACTTACTTGCTAAGTCTAAGTCCCTGAATCCCCTGAGTACACCTTAAACCCATACTTGCAGGCTCATGGGACTTAGTAAGTAGGGTTTTAAGTTTTAAGTAGATTATAATTAGGATAACCCCGTTTAGGGAACTTATAACCCCAATTCCTACTTACTATAAGCCCCACGATCCTTTAAGTACTTTGCAGGTGGTGATCACGGCACTGCGTGTTCTGGCGCAGATAATGGAGGCCTGTCTCTCACACTCTCCGCTGTCGCGGTTCGATGTCCCTAAGCCCGAAAAACCAACTGAAACCCAGAACCATAAAACCCGCGACCTTAAACCTTAAAACCCGCAATCTCTGAACCCTAACCCGAGCCCTCTAACCTAGACACCCTGCTTCAAAATCTCCGCAATCCCAACTTACGAAGGTATGGTAAGTTTGAAAACCCTTGAACCTAAACCTTTTGATAATGATGCATTTTACAGCACATTCTTATAGCCCTACGCCCTGCAACCTTGTTTAGGGACAACGTGCCTTCGCAGCCGCACTGCTCAATCTGCGCGCTCTGCAGTAGCCCTATGTCCGAAATTTTGATCTGCATTTCTGAAGGGTGTCCAGGTATTCCATTGACGGCTTCCTACGGTCGCTTGAGGGGTCTGTATGGGTCCTGGAAAGGTTTGGGCACCTTATCTAAGCCTGTTACAGTACACACCCTGCACATTGACTCCTGGAACCACCCTAATTACCCTAAATCCCAAATCCTTAAATTTTTCGATTTTCAAGTCAGAATTCAAGAGAAACCATTTGCTGTGAGGCGAAGCCGGTGGAAGAGGAGCTCTGTATCGAGGCAGGAGGATTTGGGTTGCAGGGTTTGGGGTTTTAGGGTTTGGGGTTTTGGGTTTTGGGTTTGGGGTTTTGGGGTTTGGGTTTTGGGTTTGGGGTTTAGGGGTTTTGGGGTTTTGGGTTTTGGGTTTGGGGTTTTGGGGTTTTGGGTTGCAGGGTTTGGGGTTTTAGGGTTTGGGGTTTTGGGTTTTGGGTTTGGGGTTTTGGGGTTTGGGTTTTGGGTTTGGGGTTTAGGGGTTTTGGGGTTTTGGGTTTTGGGTTTGGGGTTTTGGGGTTTTGTGACTCTCCTGCTTTTTGGCGGTTACTTATTAGGGTTTGAGGTTTAGGGATTTAGGATTTAGGATTTGGGTTTTAGGTTTTCGGAGTTAGAATTCAGGATTTTGGTTCTAGGGTTTAGCGGCAACGGACCCTTACAGACCCACCCTTTTAAGGTCGAGCTGTCCAAATGTTGGGGCCTAAATAAAGAGCGATATCATCTTACATGCGCGCAGAGCCGCATGCCGTTTGTATGCTGGGTCAACATCCTACATTAAGATCATTAAGCCGTCATCACTTAAAGAGCCTATTTCTTCAAATCCTAAGCTTAGATCACCTCAATACCTAGCCTTTCATCTTTTTGGATTCTTATCGTTATTTAGTAGGAATCAGAAAGTTTAACTAAGCCTAAACCCTAATCCCTAAACCCTAAACCCAAGTCCTTAAATCCTATAAAACCTAGTCGTTGAGGATTCAGGATTCCTTCAATATTTTGTTTTGCATAATCTGTGTAAGGACATAGTTCGAAACCCTATTCCAATCAGTCATGCCCCGACCCTAAACCCTAAATCCCAGTCCTACTCTAATTAAGCTACTACCTGTGAGCTACCTGTGACCCGAAACCATACAACATAGTATGTTATGACCCCTTAATTAGAGAGTAGACCCCTTAAATCGGTAGGTTTTTAGATCCCCAGGTAAGGCCCTTTCCTAGACCGAGACCCCCCGTGTGATGGTCGATATGACAGGACCTCCTCCCGGAGGAAGAGTGCACTACAGCGACACTCGGGCTCTTACGCTACCCACAGAGCCCAATACGCCTTGATTACGGAATATATTGAAATAGACCTTAAACTATACGGGGCTTCGTATTATGATGTAGACTCTACTCCTTAATTAAGGGGTTTTGGGCTCCCCGGCTCATGTTTCGTAGCCTAGGCATCCTAGAGCCGCGGTTTAGGGGTTTGGGGTTTCAAGGGTTTCGGGCTTTAAGGGATTTGGGTTTCAGGGGTTTAGTGGTCCGTAAGGGTGAGTTCCTTTAAGGGCTCTATAAGGGTTTGGGGAGATGGATAGTTGTCTTATTTAGGGTCCTTTCTATAAGGGTGCCGCACTATCTTCCTTAGAACTAACCTATTGTTCCGAAGCTTTGGGCTGCTAGAGCTTGGGGTGTAGGGATAGAGGCATGAACAACTGATTAGCAATGTTAGTCCCTGTTAGTCCGTATAGCATAATTACTTCCAGTACAACATACCCCGAATCAAGGCCTCCGCATTGCGGTTCCAGAGTGTTGCTACCACTATGAGTTTGGTTTAGGGGCGTACTACTTGGAGGATCATGGGGCTTAATAAGTAGGTTATAACTGGGGTTATAAGTCCCCTAAGTGGGGTTATCCTAATTATAACCTACTTACAACCCTAGTTACTAAGTCCCATGATCCTTTAAGTAGACCCTAAACCCCGAAACCCTTAAAGGGAACCCTACTATAGAACCCATAGTACCCTTAAAGGGAACCCTAAGCCCTTAGTTACTAAGTCCCATGATCCTTTAAGTAGACCCTAAACCCTAAACCCTTATTTCAGAACCCTATAGTACCCTTAAAGGGAACCCTAAGCCCCTTAGTTACTAAGTCCCATGATCCTTTAAGTACGTCACGTGGCGTCCTGAGGTTTCAGGTTTGTCGGGCATGGGATGTTTAGGTTCTTCACAAGCAATGCTACTTGGAAGGGCAGGGGACTTAGTAAGTAGGCTATAATTGGGGTTATGAGTCCCCTAAGTGGGGTTATCCGAATTATAAGCTACTTATAACCTTACTTGCTAAGTCCCATGAGCCTTTAAGTAGAAGCTTCGACAGCTGGTGGCATTGTAATCACTTTGTTCTTTTGCTTCCGTATGGACAATGAGTTACCCAGACCCCCGGGAGGATCCAAGAAGTAGATCCCCTAATGGGGGTTCCTTAAATGTGCCCTTCGAAGTAGACGAGGGCCCCAAATTAGGGGATCTACCCGAAACCCTAAACCCTAAAACCCTATAGATCTCTTACAGGGACCCTTAAAGGAACCCGTAAAGGAACCCCATTAAGCGATCTACTTTTTGGATCCTCCCGGGGGTCTGGGAAGTTCGACATTTCAGCAGAGCGGCGGTCTGTTTTCAGATTTCGGCTTTTGACATCCAGGGGTCCTCGTCAAGGGATGTAAAGCACCAGCCCTAGGCCCTAAAACCCTAAAGCCTTTAACCCTAAAGCCCTTAACCCTAGAACCCTAAAACCCTAAACCGGCTGTTCTTGGATTCTACATTTTACCGTTGAGGTCTGGTTCTTAGTAGGGAGTGGGGAAATGGATCCCTATGGTAGTCCCCATATAATCCCCAATAATAGTCTCCATAACCCATTCCCCCATTCCCTACTAAGAACCAGACAGAATTGCACAAAGTAGAGACGATTCATAGACGTTAGAGCCCAAGCTAGGTACTGTTTATATACTTGGAGCCCTAAGTTAAGGTTCTTGCAAACTCAACCCTGAACCCTAAAGCGTGAATGACACCCAGCCTGCAGCAGAAGCTTGATAACTGATAGCTGCATGAGCGGATCTGCACTTCGCGAATATCGGCATGAGCTCCGAGCACTCTTTCGGCTATCCCATCTTCCTCACGAAGGAGGAGAAAGCTCGTCGGGCACGCCTTGCCGAGCTGGAGTCCTCGTCCTTCGACTCCGAGGATGAGATCGGCGAGGGAGAGGAGTCCGATCACGACGGTGACGTCATGGGAGAGGGGAAAGGCCACGGCAAGGAGGGGCAGCAGATGGTCTCCTCTGAGGGCATTGACACATTTGCCGGATCCTCCGGAGCCTCCGACTATGACTTGGGCAAGGGAACGCCGAGGCTCACGGGGCAAGGCCAAGGCCAAGGCTCAATCAACAACCCCCTTTAACCCCAAACTCCTGCAGCCTTATTGATGCTGGTCTTAGCAACCTCCTGACTATCTTTAGAAATAATACTTTTAGCAAGATTCCAAAACCCTGAACCCTAGCGGGGTTTCGATTCCTGCTGCAACTTGCCTTTTGGTAGAATCCGTATAGAACCCCTGTTGAACCCTCATGAAAGCCTTAGAGAGACCTGACGAAACACGTATAGAACCTGAAAACCCCGAAACCCTAAACCATAAAGCCCTAAACCCCAAAACATTAAACCCCAGAGCCCTGAACCCTTGGGCCCTCCCCAAAAACAAATCTCAGGGGATCGGCCTCAGCATCTTCTTCTACTGGCAGCAGACCCAGAGTTAGGACTTTTGGGAGTTCAGGGTTTATTGTTTTTTTTTGGCGGGGGGGAAACAGTCGCCAAGTTCGCCAGTGCTACCCCTTTGCCCTTTTTTTTCGGGGGGTCCCTACGTATTAATACCGAATATTAGGAACAAGGTTTCCCTTATTGTTAAGGGGGTTACTGGGATCCGAGGAAGAGGCCTTCATAGTTAGAATAGGGTTTAGGGTGTAGGGTATGTGGGTGCAAGGTCTGGAATTTGGGATTTGTTTCGACTTAGCAACTTGGCCAGTCTCCAGTCTCCCTAAACCTCCAAACCACTACACCCTAAAACACGTAAAACCCTGAACTCTGAACCCTTAAACCTTTTCAAACCCCCAAACCCCTAAACTCCTAAACCCTGAACCCCTAACTTTTTTTTGAAGCCAGACCCGCGGAGCTCTGTCCAAGCTGGGCCCTCAAAAGACGAAACCCAAAGGCTCTGGCGGAAGCCGCTCGGATCTCTTCACCGTCATCGTCCACAGGCCGTGGACCCTTTAAAGGAACCCTTATAGCACCCGTATAGTACCTTTATATTACCCTGATAGTACCCCTTTCGATTCACTGCGTTGGGCCTCGGTGTTTAAAGCAGACCGCATCGCAAGCATCGTGATGTAAATCTTGTGCAGTGTGCGAGTCTTATCATCCCACTTACGGTTCCCATAGAACTTCAGCGCGAATATCCATTTGGCAGTGTTCACATTTTTTGGCGCTGATTGCACTGCAGGGCTGAAATGTAGCTCTGCTAACAACTACGAATTTCCATAAATCCCGCAGAGAGGTCACTAAGCTGTGGGACGTACAGTATACGGCGCACACAACGCCGAGCCCTAAACCCTGAACCAAAAACGCGCCTTATCCTTACTGGCAGGCTGCTGAGAGAGTTCTCGACACACCAGGAGATGCTCGGGCTCTCAGCAATTGTTACATGTTTCGGGCTAACGCAGCCCTCTCTCTCTCTCTCTCTCTCTTTCTCTGTCTTTCTCCTCTATCTGTTTGGATTTAAAGTCAGGGGTTTAGGATTTCGGACGGTCGTTGCTTCGCTTGCACACTTTTGTTCATCAGTGCTGCATGCTTTTGGACTGAAGTGGATTTGTGATGTTGTTCTTTTGGTAAACAGACCCTCTAGGGTAGGGTTTCCATAGGTTACAGAGTTTGTGGCAATTTTTGCGGTGTTGTTATTCTCATTGTTACGAGGTTTCTGGATCGCTATGTATCCCGCTCTAAATTCTGTCGGACAACATTCGTTTTTGCTCCAATAACCAGCATTGAAGGTTTGGAGTTTAGGTATGTGGCATGGATTTCTTCAGGGCTTCCTGCCATCGTGTAAACCTAAACCCCGAAGAGTGGCTCATAAACAGGGCTTGTGAAGCTTGCTTCGGGAACTTATAGCCGCAATGGTGACCTGACTAAGTCCCTTGAGCCTAAAAGGAAACTCAAACCTTAAGCGCGGAGCCTCGAATACTGCGTACCCTAAAGCCTAAAGCCCTAAGGCCATGGAAACAGATACGCCCTGCGCTGTAAACTCCTGAACCAACAAACCCGCCATTCTAAACCCTGAAGCCCCTAGCCCTCGCACTTAAGCAATACAATAAGTTCTCGTCCGAGGCGTCTTCGAATACCTTTATCGCTTAGCCTTCTGCACTTGGCCCAAGAGGCCGAACCCCGTAAGGCCTGCAAATTCACCAAACTTGGAAACTTTCAAAGAACCTATGTGGCATCATGTCGTGTAGGGGTCCGAATAATTAGAAATAATATCCCGTTTATGGTCCCTGTATGCTTATGCTAAACGCTACCCCATACCCTATTCTTGTCATCAAGGCCTCTTCCTAGGTTCCCCAGTAATTAAACTCTTGTTTTCCTACTATTCTGTTTAATAACGGGCCGATACACCAGAACCCTATTCTTGTCATCAACGCCTTTGTCTTGGTTTCCGCAAGTTTATATGGGACTTTCGGAAAATAGGGGGCCCTAATATAGCACCCTAAATAATAGGATCCTTTTTATAAGGACTCCAATATAAGGTACCCCTAATTATCGGAAACTCCCATATGGCTTTCAAAAATTTCAGACCATATAAAACCTCAGCCTCCGAACGGCTGAGGGAGCCCGAACCCTGAAGTACACATGCCTTACAGACTTGCTAAACCTGAGCATACCTCTCTCTACTCTACGCTGTACTCTACTCGACTCTACTCTGCTCTAACATCTTACAAGATGTGTTATGATATGTTGTGCGATGCTGTGTCATATTATGTCATGCTCTCTATGCTATACACCCTCGGCCCTAATCCCTGAACTAAACCCTAAACCCTAAACCCAAAACCCTAAACCCAAAACCCTAAACCCTAAACCCAAAACCCTAATCCCTGAACTAAAGCCTAAGCCCTGAAGCCCCCAACTCACTAAGCCGAAGTCTGAACCACGCGCCGCACAAGGCTGGAAAGCCGCGGGCGGCTGATGATACGCCAAGTCTGCGGATATCTGGATCCCCAGAGGCTCTTTTGCTCTTAATCTAGGATGCCCAGTAGTACCCTTATTCCCTTTTTGTAGTCCTAGGTTCCTTATAAAGTTACCCAATACCAAAAAGAGGTATCCTAGTAATACTTCACCAAATCATAATACTACTTCCTAATCAAGAAACACCACATACTCCTTTAAAGGATAGCTTAAAGGAACCTCTGTAGATCCACTACCCAGACCCCAGGGAGGATCCAAAGAGTACTTAGATCCCTTAATGGGGGTTCCTATACCGTACCCTTAGTAGTGGAGGGCTTCAAACTGAGGGATCTACTTTCTAGATCCCCGGAGGCCCTTTTGCTCTAGGAGGCTGCGTAGGTAAGCTTCAATTTTTGGGGGCCTACATAATCCTACCCTACTTCGACAGGTTAATCTTTTTCGGCTAAGGTACTTATCCCCCATGTTTGTGTGCTTCCACTAGGGTTTAGAGGTTTAGAGTGCAGGGATCCCGGAAGCTTTGGTTCAGAGGTTTAGGGTTTGGGGATCCTAAACTAAAGCCCTTGGTTGGTTTCGGTGCTACCATGGTTTTAGAGGATTAGTCTCTCTTTGTTGGTTTAGGTTTGTTTTGGGGTTTAGGGTTGAAGGTGTCTTTCGGGTTTTTTGAGTGTTGATACATGGACGCTTAGTTCGAAAGCATGCGATGTCTCAGCTCTTTGAACACGGGAAAGGCGGCAAGTAGCGACGACGGAAAGCCTAAGCCTCGTGCTCGTACATGGCCATTCAGAGCAGCATTGGACACACAGAAGAAAGATTCTAGGGTTTAGGGTTTAGGGTTTAGATAAAGTGCGTGACCCTTTTGCGTGTTAAGCTCGGGGATGACCGACCAAATGCCAATGACAAAGACCTCTATCCTCACCTGAAGTCGCTGGCGGCTGGAAGGCTCGGGGGCATGGCTCCCTTGAGTTTCGACTTCGGTTGTTGTCCAGGGCAGGGGCACCTTGGACCTTGTCCCGGACCGGTGGAGTGCAGCGGCCAAACTAGGGCGAGGGGAATGGTGCCCTTTGTCTTGTGCTCGTCCCCGATGCCCATGGCAAGCAGTCTGGTGCTGGTATCGGTCCGTGACGCATGACAGGCTGGGCGAATCTTTTTGTGGGACGAGGGTGATGACGGCAAGTGTCCAAATCACGAAAGCGGGTGGTGTGCTGATAACGATTGTGATGCTGCTGATGATGTTGGCATTTGACCATGATGACGATGAAGATGATGCTGATTTTCATGTTATTTTTTATACTCAGACTGATCTTGATATCGATGTTGTTAGCTGCAGAATGAGCATGCGGCTGGCGATGAGGCGTGGCAGTCTTGGTAGGCACACGCCTGCGGTATCCGAAGGCTCCTCTGCCCTTGCCGTTGGCACGTTTTTGGGGTGCACATGTGTCTAAATGTTACTGTATAGGGACCAAACAAGGGGTATGATCACAATTACTCAGACCTCTATTGTTAGTGTCCGTTTGGGTAATACAAAGGTTTCGGTTTCGTGCTTCAGGCTTGCGAGGCGGAGAACAACAGCAAGAATGACTAATGTCATTGCCACATAAGTTTTTGACTTTGAGGCGGTATGCTTCCAAACTGTTTTCCAAGCGGGTGCACTGCAGAGTTGCTACTTTCGACAGCGTGTCTAGGTTTTAGTTCTTGTGCCGGTGAGCCTGGAAAAATGAACCCCGCATCCATCATTTTCTGAGCTCCCCCGCATGCGTTGAGTGCTCAGTGAAGGCTTTATGTGACGGTGGCGCGTGCCATTCAGCAGGCCTGTTTTCTGGCTCGGGGCGGGACTGGGCTCAGGCATTGCAGTTGGGGATTGTGGTTTTTCTGATTTCTTATCGAGATAGCGAGACCCTCAACTTTCGAAGTTTCGAAAAATAAAGATACTGCTGATGGGATGGACAAAATCCTGCATTACCCATTGTAAGGAATATACCATAATTCCCATAGTTTAGAGTCTTTAAGGTCATGCAGGATTTTGTCCATCAGCAGTAGTTCAACCACAGGACCTGCCTTTGGGAGCTCCTGCAAGATCTACGGTAGAGATGTCGTGGACCCCTTAGCCTCAGTCTACTTGTAGGATCCTATACCTAAAAACGACCCAAACGGAGACTAAGGTTGTTAATCCCAAACGCCAAACCCCAACCCAAAGCCCGACATAAACCCCGCAAGCACTCTCTGCAAAAGTCTGACAGAAAGGTGTTGTTTGAGGGGCACTGGGGGGGTTCCTGGTAAGCCGTCGGGATTCTAATTCTAGGGCCCCTACCGTGCTGGAGTTTCATGTCGATGATATCTGGAGAGCTCATAGAATCAGAGGACCCTTCGTTTTCGGTAGGGGGTCGTATATGTTTTAAGCATCCAGGTTTATTGGGTTCATTGTTTGCGCGTCCTCGTCGAGGGGCCAGTCGTGCCTGCAAGTCGTTGTAACCTGGAGTGCTTGGGACCTGCCTTTGAATCGGACTGGGTTTCAACCTTTTCTGACCAGTTTTGGCATAGATTGAGCCCTTGAGCCCATTTCCTCAGTAGATTCAATAATCCCAAGCAACAAACTTCAAACCCTAAGTCTAATTTCTAAACCTCAAACCCCTAAACCCAAACCGAAAGAGGCCCAAGCTCTAGAAGCCCTCAGCCTTAAGCCCCAAACCCTGATGAAAGCCTCAGCAGTATCCACTAGGGCAGAGTCGAGTCCTTTGTGAACACTAGGGCAGAGTCGAGTCCTTTGAGTGCTACTGTTCGTCTGATCCACGTCATAGTGCAATTATGATTTAGCAGAGCCTCGTCGGCAACAAGCCTGCAGCATGATTGTAAGGGCTGTTCTGGGGGTTCCTTATGATGACTATAGTACCCCAACGCCCTTTTCTAATTATTATAAGGACCCTATATTTAGGCGGTTGTCAAAATTATGGTCCCGTTCTGGGTCCCTATCATAATACGGCACCCATCACTCAGGGTACCCAAACAGGGACCCTAATTCTGACATCCACCCTTTTAGGCAGCTGAACCTGGGCTCCTCTATATTCATGTTGAAACCTTGGAAGCCCCGAGTTTCAAAGTATTAAACCGACAAAGCCCAGGTCCTATACTCCAAACCTCCCAGCCATCAACCGCCCCTAAACCCCAAAGCCCTAAACCAAACTTAAACCCCCTAAACCCCGAAACCCTTTAAACCCCTATATAAACCCTAATCCCGAAGCCCTCGCCAGGAAAAGGATCGAGCCTTTGCGCAGAAACTGGTGCGGGGCTTATACCTGTGCTCCAACTGATGAGTTTACATAGGGATTCTAGGTTTCGGGGGCGACCTCCATAAGGAATCATGATAGGGAGCCCCGAAAAGGAAGCTTTCAAAGCTTGAGGTTTCAGGTTGCTCGTTCTCTGATTGAAGGTTTAGGGTTCGGGGTTTGGGGTTCAGTGTTTAGGATTTAGGGTTTCAGGTTTTATTAGTCTCCCAGATTACTTCAACGTCCAGAATATGAAGAGTACTGCAAAGCGTTGAAGGCACCCGTTGCTACTAGTAAGGCCTCCCCGCGGTGAAAGCAAACCATCAGTTAGAACCGCCTGCCTCATTGTTCCCATGCGTCTGTCATCCATCATCAGAATCAGCTTCATTATATGTAGTTATAGTATAAACTGTTATAAACTTATGAGGCTGTTCTTCATGCTCATGATCGTCAACATGATGTCCACGGTGATCCTCACCTTTATCAGCTTCTATCAGCCTCCTGAAAATGACGAGTGTCATCATGAAGGTAGCCAGAAGCAGCACCATCAGGTTAATAGCGGCAGGTGTATAATCCTCACCGTCATCATAAGCATCCTGATTGTCATCGTCGCTTTCACCACCAACATCACATGACAATCGTTGCTATTGTGCGGAAGACAAAATATTACCATTCTATAAACCGTCTCCTCGTCGTTATCGTCGTTGTCTTTCTCCTCCTGCTGAAGATCATGGCTGTTCCAGTCTTCAAAGAGCTCTCGAGGTGCAGACCTTCAGCTGGATACTGCTCACGGCTGTGTCGACCTCGGGTGGACAGAGTCAGAAAACATAGGATAATGTATTTCTGTTGAAGACATCCGTATATATTATGGACTGTACTATGTTGTAGTCCAAACCCTACACCCGTTTCCCGAAACCCTAAACCCGAGACTCGAAACCCCGACCCGAAAAACTAATCCCTAAACCGTATGGTTCGTGACCAGGCTTTGTTGCGAAGCGAGGTATCCGAACTAAACCCTAAACCCTGAACCCTAAACCCTAAACCCTCAGGGTTCAGGGGTCCTGGCTTCAGCCTCACATGTTCGCGTTTATTTTAGGGTTTACTAGGTATCGTTTTGGATTGATTTCAACTTCCCTTATTATATAGAGCCCCAACTAATGATTTTCGAGTTGAAATCGACTCCTCGTTTAGGGTTTTGGGCTTCAGACTTTCGGGTCTAACTACTTAGAGGATCATGGGACTTAGTAAGTAAGTTATAACTGGGGTTATAAGTCCCCTAATGGGGTTGTCCTAATTATAAGCTAGTTATAACCCTACTTACTAAGTCCCATGAGCCTCTAAGTAGGGGCGTTGTGGCTTTTGTTGGGCCGTCAGGCTGCTGGCTTAGGAGATTACCTGGACGCCAATTAACCTAGCTTTTTAAGGGCTTCTATAGGGAAAACATAATAGGGAACCCTAGAACAGGTAGGTTCATTAGGGTCCAGGTCAGGCTTTCTTTCACCGACTCCCGGCGTAGAAAATGAGAGAAAAGCGAGACTCAAGGACTTAGAGTGGGCCCTTATTCCCTTTCAGGGTTTAGGGTTTAGGGGTTGAGGGTTTAGGGGTTTAGGGTTTAGTGTTTTAATTCTAGGTTACTCTTGGGTCTAGGACCCGCATGTAGAGTTTACGGTTTGGCGTAGCTTGAATGCAGGAAACCATGCTGCCGGTCATGAGACAAAAAACAGAGAGCATGGACCATGAACCCAGAGACTCCAATATCACTGAATTAAGGAATCTACGTTAAATTATAGTAGGATCCCTAATATGATTTAAGGAAAAATCCTTAATTAAGAGAAATTGGAGTCTCTGGGAATCCCATGATACTCAATACCCCGCCAATCCAACGTAGCAGGAAGCCATACGAAATCTTCTATGGTGCAATCGAAACGTAGCTCAGCCCTCGAGTGCAGCCCCAAACCTCACTCATAATCACAACCTATACCCAACACTTCAAACCTAGAGGCTGAATCTCAGTAGTTACACCCGAACTTCGCACAGTCCAAACCCACGCCCAATGGTCTAAACCCCTATACAAGTCCTGCAGTCTAACCTGAAGGACCAAATGACCCTTAAAAGTAGGAGCCCTATACCCATATACTATGAATCCCTATATGGTATATGAACCTTAAACCCTTTTAGGGTTCATTTCGTCCTTAAGGAAGTCCCCCACAATTTGAAGCTTCCGCGGCTGCCTTAGACGCGCAGGTCGAAACGCGCGGCCTTCGTGAGGACAGATAGGGGCCTGATTGACTTACAGTAGAAGCCAGAAAGTTGGAACATCCTTCTCCTCATGCCCTTAAAGTAATCTATACGGAATCCTAGCACGAATTATCCTTAATTCATGTTCCAACTTTCTGGGGTTCACTGTAAGCTCCCAGAGGTGCTTCAACTCTGAACACTTTATGCCCTCTAGGGTTGAGGGTTTTAGGGGTTTAGGGGTTTAGGGTTTAGGGGTTTAGGGTTTAGGGGTCCAGGGTTTAGGGTTTATTTAGGGTTTAGGGCCTAGGGCTTGGGGTTTAGGGTTCAGGGTTTTGTTGTGAGTAGGTATCCTTTAATCATGTCGGGGTACTATAATCCCGTATGACCCCGATATACCCCCAAAGCTTACCCTTTGATTCCCAGGATACTGGACAAGTAGGTTGGGTCTCTTGCAACTCAAGAGCAAAATCCAGAACGTCACAGACACAGACATCCCTTCACAAAGTGCCCTTTGTGAAGGACTCCTATTACGCTTGAAGGCCTATTTGGGAGTTTCCGAAAATAGGGGACCCTAATCTACTACCCTAAATAGTCGGATCCTTATTATAAGGCCCCCAAAAAGGTACCCCTAATTTTCGGAAGCTCCCATTTCTACATCTCAGTTAAGGGGTCTTCGACTCTCCGAGCAAGAATCAGAAAGCAGCCAGGAGTTGCTCAGGGAGTCAGAGCAGCCGCGAGCCGAGATACTTGCTGGGTTCAGGCAGTTTTTGTAGGGCTTATTTGAAGGCTCATGGGACTTAGTAAGTAAGGTTATAAGTAGGTTATAATTAGGACAACCCCACTCAGGGGACTCATAACCCCAATTATAACCTACTTACTAAGTCCCATGATCCTCTAAGTAGGGTTAGGCATGGGCTTTGGCTTTGTTTACCTACTGTTTTCGATGTCATCCTCCATCATGAAGGGGTCGCAACCTGCTTTATAGTTTTTTCAGGCTACATAACTGGGACGCAGACTTTGGGTAATGTGCGCAGGGGGCTTCCATACTGTAGGGAGCTTAGATCATACAAGTGTGCATTGTAGTGGTGGCATCGACACACATCGCTGACTCCCCACCCTAAACCCTAAACCGTCCCTGCATTCAGCATACATATCGGCGCGACTTTCCTGGTCAGAACATTCGCGACCATCATCCTCATGGGACCCAAGTTTAGGGTTTAGGGTTTAGGGCTTCTAGTCACTTGCGAGCATGGGGGGCTGGGCAAGCGATGAGATACAGAGGCAAATAAATTTCTGGATGCATCCTCCGGATCACCAACGTTTTGGGCGTAGGGCTTAAGATTTTCGGGCTTCGGGCTTAGGGTTTTAGGTAGAGGGCTCACGGTTTAGGGTTTCAGGTTTCAGAGTTTGTTTATCGCTCAGGGTTAGGCTTAGTAGAAGGACTGCTAATCTTGGGAAACGCCTCGAGGCAGTGGATAAACCCTGAAACTTGAAAACAATCGCACCACCCTAAGCCCTAAACCCGATTCCGAGGCACCCGCAGCTCTTGCGGCTGGCTGGCCAGCCGACATCGGAGGAGGCTTGGACCCCTCATGACATCCGTTTCTTGCATACAAATCGCACTCGGGCGTGGTAATTGAAACGAGGCCTTCAACTATATACTACAGAGGCCTAAATTAAATACATAAATTTAACAATACTCCTTGATTTATGATAAGTATAGTATAATGGGCCCCAAAGCCCTATTCTAATCATTAGGGCCCCTATATCAGGGCTCAATGGGTTTTCGGGTGCATGGGCTCAGGGCTTCGGGGTTTGGGACTTCAAGGTTTAGCAGCTTACCGATTGAGTTACTTCCTTCCTTCCTTCCAGGGTTTCCTATGAAAGAGAAGGGGCCGGGGACTTGGCCCCAAAGAGGAAAAGGAAGGACCCTTAATGGAAACCCCTACCCTATAATGGGGCTATATAATGGGTATATACTAGCTATATTAAGGGTATATACCTAGGGGTCCTTATTAAGGGTCCCTCGTTTTCCCGTTTGAATGATGTGAGGAAGGTTTAGAGAGTTAGGGTCCTGCAGATCCTGAACCCTCAACCCTGAGGTAACCGGACAGCTAGAACAACCCTCAGCCCTAAACACAGAGTACCCTACTATAGATGCCTTATAGACCCCCTTTAAGGGAACCCTGCTCTAATTATTAAGGCCCCCTTTGAAGGATCCCTTGAACCCCTAAACCCTAACCGTGGCCTTTGGGCCCCGTCAGGCTCAACAATGTGAAACTTATAAGAAGCCCCATAAAGCCCGTTTAGAACTCTTGAAGGAGCCCCTTAAAACAAAATCGAGACCCTGCGTGCAAGAGAATCTGATGGATATGGACACAAGCCCCTAAAGCCAAAGTCCTAAAACTGTGAGAAGAATCTCTAAACCCTAGACCCCAAAGCCCTAGATGCCACTGAACACCCGAAACCCCCAAACCCCAAAAATCCCAAACCTGAATGAGTGAGGGCACCTCGCGGAACATTATAGAGCTCTAATAGAGGCCCTGGAAGAAACCCGTACGGCTGAGAACCCGTTTTAAAGCTCCCAAGCCTCAAGCCTCTGTTCAACCTTGGAGACAGCATCGGTAGCCCCTAAAGCCTAAGCCTTTAACCTAAACCCTAATTCCAAAAGCACTCTGAGCGCTGACCCATGCCCCAAGCCACAACCTCCAACCCCCAAGCCGTAAACTCTAAACTCTAAATTCTGAGTCGTAAACCCTAAACCCTGGGCCTTTACACGAAAACTATATGGGAGTTTCCGAAAGTTATAAAAAGGATCCTACTATTTAGGGTGCTATATCCGGGTCCCTATTGTCGGAAACTCCCATATCCCAGAATTAAGGAATATACAATAGATTACAATCGGATCCCTATCAGGGATAACAATACTTAGGGGCACTTAGAAATAATTTTGATTTTTTTTGGTTATTATAATCCCGAAGAAACAGCTCGAATTATAAATTTTGCTAGGGTTCTAAGTTCAGTATAGATAACAATAGGTTACACTCGGAAAACCCAAAGGCCAAGGCGGATCTTCCTCGGCCCCTGTTTCTGGAGCTGCTAGAGTCCGGGGGCCCTGGGGTTCACGGTTAAGGGGCTTAGGGTTTAGGGGCTCAGGGTTTAGGGGTTTAGGATTTAGGGGCTTAGGGTATAGGGGCTCAGGGTTTAGGGGTTTAGGGTTTAGGGGCTTAGGGTTTAGGGGTTTAGGGTTTTAGAAGTTTAGAGTTTAGGGGTTTACGGTTTAGGGCGCTTCTAGAGTTGGGGGCCTGGGGGCTGAAACGGTGCTTTAGCAGGAGGTGTGCATAAGGACGAAATGAACCCTAAAAGGGTTTAAGGTTCATATACCATATAGGGATTCATAGTATATGGGTATAGGGCCCCTACTTTTAAGGGTCATTTGGTCCTTCAGGTGTGCATAAGGCCTTATAGTTGTTCTTGTTCTCCATTGTTGTCCAGGGTTCTGTGGAGGTTTAGGGTGCATTGGGTTCGTATTGCACATTAAGGGCTTATATGGTTTTGATAAGGTCTTGCATAAGGTTGGTTAAAAGTTGGTGATGGCTTGTCTGATTTCAGGCTTCAGGGGCTTCGGTAAGGGTTTGATCTTGTGGTCCGGTTTACCACCGGCTTGTAGAGAGAGTGTGGACAGTGTGAAACCCGGATGTAAAGAACTTCAAATCAAACTCGTCAAAGCCAAGGTGCCAATATTCCGGTGAGCATCTGGAACCCGTCAGCAAAGCCTCAGCACTCAAGATATCCCTCTGGCACATCCACCTAGAACCTCCTAAAGCCGTCTACCACACCAATACACACACGAAGCCCATTGCACAACGACAGCCCAAAATGCAATCCCCCACTTCCCCCCTTCAAGAACAAGATCATAGACAACCTATATTAAACACCCTACCCTACTACCGCACTATATAACATCACCAATAGTAGTAGTAGTAGTAGTAGTAGTAGTAGTAGTAGTAGTAGTAGTAGTAGTAGTAGTAGTAGTAGTAGTAGTAGTAGTAGTAGTAGTGGTAGTGGTAGTGGTGGTGGTGGTGGTGGTGGTGGTGGTGGTGGTGGTGGTGGTAGCAGCAGCAGTAGTAGAAGTAGTAGAAGTAGTAGTAGTAGTAGTAGTAGTAGTAGTAGTAGTAGTAGTAGTAGTAGTAGTAGTCGTCGTCGTAGTCGCAGTAGCAGTAGCAGTAGCAATAGTAGTAGTAGTCGTCGACGTAGTAGTAGTAGTTGTAGTGGTAGTAGTAGTAGTAGTAGTAGTAGTAGTAGTAGTAGTAGTAGTAGTAGTAGTAGTAGTAGTAGTAGTTATAGCAGTAGCAGCAGCTGTAGCAGTAGGCGTAGGAGTAGGGGTAGGAGCGTGAGTCGGAGTAGGAGCAGCAACAGCAGCAGCAGAAACAGCAGCAGTAGCAGTAGCAGTATGAGAAACCTAGTAGTAGAGTAGGTGGCCTTTAACCTCTTTTTTGGGTAGTATAGTCCCGATATAATACTACATAATCCCTATATAGCCAAAAATACCCTAAACCCTAAACCCTAAACCCGAAACCCTAAACCCTTTAATTAACCTTTAGTTCCCCATGGTACCCGACAAGTAGGGAAAGAGAAGAAACCGAGGCCCTGGTTCCATAATCCGACAAGCGCGCTGGCCCTGTGCCTGTGGGCTCAGCGCCTGCGACGGCAGAGACATGATTCGGTGTAGGCTTAGGGCTAAAGTAGGGCTGTCTGAATTTCAGGTTTTATTATAGTCCTTAAAGGGCCTGGGTGTTTGAATCAAGTTGTTTCGGGTGGGTGTTCGGGGGGGGGGGGGGGTAACCTTTTTTGGGGGGCCAGTCCCTCCCAGCTGGATCGAGTATCGGGGTGTCAGTCTAGTAATGTGGGGTTCAAGCGTTCCGGGCTTTCAGGGGATTGTTTAGGGTTCAGGGTCTTGGGGCTTTCAGCTTAGGTTCAGGGTTTCGGGGTATCGGGGGTGGGCCTGGTTTTTAGTTTACGGCTTGTTTCGGGTTGGGGCACCTGCCCCGAGAACCTCGTCGATCACGGGCATACTATAGCGGCCTTAATAATTTCTCATACTCTTTTGGGGGGTTCCTTATTGTATAATGGGGCCCCAAAACCCCATTCTAATTAGTAAAGCCCCTTTACTATATCCTTATAATGACACTTGTAGTAACCCTTATAGACGCCTTTTAAAGGAACCCTAATTATTAAGGCCCCTGTATTACCCTGACAGGCTTCTGCCTGCAGGAGTCTTGGGAACAGTGCGGGCGCTCCTGCTCGCTTGTGAGCACTACTACCAGGAAACCTTGGGTTCTTGTTAAGGAATTTAATTTAGGTTGCATATCACTTGTCAAGGATTCTAATTTAGTAAAATGAAACCACATTATTGGCTATAGATCCCTAGTATGGTAACTTAAATTAAATCCCTTAACTAGAAACCAGATCATTGCTGCGACCTTTGCAGGCCGTCGTTGACCTGCGACAGCTGGAGGGCATAAATTCTTCGGTCGAGTGGTGTGTGTTGGGTACGGCCCCCACTCAGTGATAGTTGAATAATATTCATAATATCGATATATTAGGACCTTAATAGTAGCCGTAGCCCTATTATAGACTCTTACTGTCAGGGGCAGCACCTAAGGTGTTTGTAAGCTGCTTGCGGCATACATGGCCTGAGCCTTCCTTTGCGATTGCATGTGCTCTTGTACGAGCCCTTTGGAACCCCTGCTGCACACCCAAACCCCAGCTAAAACGAATCCCAAACCGCAGGACACCCCTTAAAAGAGAAGGATTTAGGAACCCCCCCCCCCCACAAAGATGCAATGCCCTGCAAAGGCACCCTAAAGAACCCTATCAGACCCGTACGCACGCCTACAAAGCGTTTACAAAGCCCTCCGAAAATACCCGTATATATCAGCCGAAATTCTGACACACTCACCCTGAAGGAGCCCTATTATATGTAAACCCTATAAGGTCCTTTACAGCAGGCGATATGATCCCTCTTGTTTCAAGCCAAAACCACCAAACAACAAAACGCCAAAACTCCAAAACCCTTCATCCTGCACCCCCTTCAGTCCCTTCAGGTAACCCACACAGAACACTCCTAAACCCTACACCCTGAAATATAGGGGTCTTGACAATTAACTATACTATTTTGGGGTTCTTTGTTATGATTCTAGTATAGTGGGCACCAAAACTCTGTTCTAGTTATTAAGGCCCCTATATGAAACCCTAGACCCTGAAAGCAAAGGCAGTATGAGCCGTAAACCCCCAACCCTGAACCCTATAAACCCTGCAAGTAAAGGCAGTATGAGCTGGCCTCGGAGCTCACCGGCCGGTTCGCGAGCTTTGAGCCCACGCTGGATTTCTTACAACAGCCGAGGGCTCAGGCTTGCATATATCAAAGGGGAAAAGGAGGGACCCTTTACGGGGACCCCTACCCTATAATGGGCTATATAATGGGTATGTAATAGCTATGTTAAGGGTATATACCTAGGCGTCCTTATTAAGGGTCCCTCCTTTTACCCTTGGATTATAGTGGTATAATAGGAATATAATAGGGCCCTAATATAATCCTTATACTCACTATTACAGGGTGGGGGCAGCGCCTAAAAAATAACATACCCCAAAACCATATTCTAGTCATTAAGGTCCCTGTATTAAACGGCTCTTTCAGGATTCTGTAAGGCCTGTAGGGGTTTTGGGGTTTCAGGGTCGAGGGGGTGTACAAGGCCTTCCTTGGGGGCTCTTTTGGATTTGCAGGGCTTCCAAGCGTGTTTTACAAAGGTTCGGTGTTTCGCAGTTTGGCAAACGGCTGGGATGCCCAGTAGTACCCTTATTCCCTTTTTGTAGCCCTAGGTTCCTTATAAAGTTACCCAATACCACTGGGTATCCTAGACGGCGTTTAGGTGGGATCGGACACTCAACGTAAAGATGGAGAACGTATCAGAGCCTTCCACTCTCAACCCTAAACCCTTAAGCCCTGAGCCCTTAAACTTAAATCCTAGACGCTGCAGTTTTAAACCCTAAAGCCTATAAACAATAAACCCTCGTTTACAGACTTGTTGTCTCTCTCCATTGCTGGCAAGCAACCTCAGCTTGGTGCTCAGACCTTAACTACTCAACACTCGGAAGGCTAGAGCCCAGCTAGGCTTTAGGGATGTGGGTGTCTACGGCATTCTTGGGGTTTAGGGATGTTCGGGGTTTTAGAGTTCAGGGATGTTTGGGGGTTTAGGGTGTAGGGCAGGGATGTTTGGGGTTTTTGGGTTGTGGGTGTTCAGGGTTTAGGATGTTTAGGGCTCAGGGTGTTTAGGGTTTTAAGGTTTACCTTAACCTACGAAAACCTACTTTTTTGTCGGGCCCCCTTATAAAATACATATTAGGGTTCATAATAAGAACTTACAAACATGTGGCGGGGGGTGGTAGGTCAAGGCTGAAGCCCTACCTGGAGGACCAAATGACCCTTAAAAGTAGGGGCCCTATACCCATATACTATGAATCCCTATATGGTATATGAACCTTAAACCCTTTTAGGGTTCATTTCGTCCTTAAGGTAAGATGGAGCCCGGGCTTGCGCCTAACAACACGGAATCCCCAATGTTGACTTGGCTTTGTCCTCCCAGGGGTCCTAGGTACTGTTATGGGTTCGTTTAAGGGTACCTTCAAGGGATCTATAGAGGTCCCTTTAAGGGCTCTTTTCAAGCATCTACAGGGTTTCCTACTGTTCTTGGGAATACTTCTACGAATCACAATAGTATTTCCCAGTTTCGGAGACTACTTATTGTGGAAGCTAGATGATTGCCCACACTCTGCCCGAGGGTTCCTCCTGAAGGTATAGTGTCATCACCGGTTTAGGGATTGAGCACTCAGGCTTATGAGTTATCGAGTCCGCTTGACAGCTTGACATGACATGGTTTCGAGCTTTGTGAGCTTGTCCCAGAGGGTCCATATACACTACCACTATGGAATTAGGCTCCAAAAGGCCATCCCCATTATGGTTCTGGCGACCTAACTCCATAATGGTAGTTCATATGGACCCTCTGGGTATGATGTTTATGGCAGAAGATGGTTTTGACGACGGGCGTTCGGGACATATCTAGGTTTTGGGCTTCGATCTTAGCGTCTAGCCTCAAAACCTGTGCCGTGTTTAGAGGCTACGATAGGTTTTGGAGTTTGGAGTATAGAAATTTCGACAGACCACAGGCCTACTGAAAGTCTCATGGTCCTTAGCAAGTAAGGTTGTATTCTAAATAGTGATAAGGTAATATCAAGGAGAACCCTACTTAGGGCATTTATATCCCCGAATATAACCCTACTTACAAAGTCCCCCGACCTTCCAAGTACGATAGGGGCGTTTCCGAAAATTAGGGGTACCTTGGGTCCTTGTAAGAAGGATCTTACTATTCGGGGTACCATATTACCTGGACCCTCCAACCCCAAACCCTAATGGATCCCTTAAAGGAACCCTTATGGTACCCTTTAAAGGAACCCTATGAGGGTCCCCTATTTTCGGAAACATAGGTTTTGGGGTTTGGGGTATAGAAACCGGATGGACCCGGCTACACCTTTGCACAGAACCTCAACGCCCAACGATCTTGCATCGTTAAGTTGTATCACCCTGAAATAAGGGACCCCAAACAAGCCCATAAGCATACTCCCCCGGGGCCGAGTGCGCGTGTGTTTGGGGGTTGGGCTAAGAAGAGTGTGGACCCCCGGGGCGGCACTAAGAGCTTTGATTTGGTTCGACGAGCACCCCGCTTCCTCCCGCAGTGCGCTCGTGACAGTGTCTGTTATCGCTTGATCTTCTCCGTTTTTGGTGGAGTCCCCATCGGCGTCCTTTTCCGTGTGGGGCCATACCATCACACCGCCGCATATGCCCACATCAACAGCGATTTTGGACACACGACCCTGCCCAGGATTGAACCAGAGTTCGCAGCCATCCCTGAAGGACGCGGAGATCCGGGGTCTTCGACGCCAGCTGGAGCAACAAAGCTCCAGCTGTTGTGTTGAGATCAACGTTTTGGAGATGCTTGCTTTATGTTCCTTTCCAGTCTTGACATTACGTCACCTGGCTGAGGCGTCGACGGTCTGTTCAAGAGAACATGTCTGATCATTGAGGATGCAGGAAAGCTGCTTAATAAATGAAGCGGTGGCTTTGTCCTAGGTCAGAGCAGGCCTACACGTCTGCCTCCTGAAGGACTTGGTGGCTGCACTGGCAGTGTACCAAAGTGGAGGGTTATTCATTGACCTCGACTATCTCTTTGTGGGCCGTGTGCCAAACCTCGCAGGGGGCTTGGCAATCGGATCGGAGCCTGTCAAAATGCTTCCGCCGCGTCCCGAATCGCATGTTAAGGATCCAGGGTGTAGGGGCTCAGATCAACATCTGCTTCAGCCCTTGTACCTAGAGACTCCAATATTCCTTAATTAAGGAATATACCTTAAATTATAGTAGGATCCCTAATATGATTTACGGTATATTCCTTAATTAAGGGATATTGGAGTCTCTGGGTACAGTGTTTGGGACTTAGCTAGGGTTTTACGATCTGAACTTTATGGTTTCTTCGGATCCGATTACAAAGTGAATTTTGGAGGGGCTTCTAAGCGCCATGAATCTACGGCGACACTTCAGGGGACCCTACTTCGAGGACCAGGGGACTTAGTAAGTAGGGTTGTAAGGAAGTTAACTATACATATAAATACTTAAAACACCAATTAGGATACTCATAGCCTTACTTACTAAGTCCCACGATCCTCCAAGCATCCCTAAACCCCTAAACCCTATAAACCTCCAACCCTATAAACCCTAAGCCCTAAACACTAAACCCTAAACCCTGAGCCTTAAACCCTTATATTACTGCTTGCCACTCCAGGCTTGACCAGCTGGTGCGGCTGTTGGAGTCGCCGATTTTCTCCCGGCTGAGGCTTCATTCCCAGAGCCTCCGATTTCCGTCAAGGGATACTTAGGACCCGATAAGGGATCTATGGGGAAAAGAATATTAAGTGAGTCCAGTATCCCTTATTTAAGGGATATACCTTATATGGGGTTCCTTAAGGGCTCCTTAAAGGGATCTATAATATAAGGGTTCTATACGGGTGTTAAAGAATACCTTAGAGTGTAGGGGACTCCAATATCCTGTAAGTCAGGAATATACCTAGGACCTGGTGTTCCTTTAAGCGATTTTGTAAGGGATCCATAGGGTTTGGGGATTAAGGAGTCTAATCTCCCTCAACTAAGGAGCATACCTGAAATTGTAGCAGGATCTCTAAAAATATGATTTAAGGATTATTCCTTAATTAAGGGATATTGGAGTCTCTGAAACTCTCTGGGGTTTATGCAGGCCTTTTAGGGTTTAGGGTGGGGCTTAGTAAGTCGGGTTTAGGGTTCCGTTTAAGGGTACTACAGCGTTGTGTAATTAGGATTTACGATTTAAGGCCTACTCAAAGGCTCATGCGGCTTAGTAGTTCGGGTTTAGGGTTCGTTTTTAAGGGTGCTATGGGGTTCTATAATAGAAAGTAGGTTTTGATTGGGATAACCCCACTTAGGGGACTTGTAATTAACTCCAATTATAAGTACATGGACGACAATTCTGGAAATTTCGGGTCGACTCTGTAACTAAGGGCCCTTGGAGTGATTGCCTAAACACTTCGCCCAACACACCATACCCTGAAAGCCCTGGAGCCTTGAACCCTGACGACCCTTCAGTCCTCTAGGAGATTCAGCGAAACAAACCGCAGGATGCTATGCGAGACAGCATAAGGGAACAATGAGAGTACGTCGTATAACGGTACCTAAACCCTAATCCTTGAACCCTAAACCCTAGTGGCTGGTTGGAGAAGTGTTAAACCCTAAACCCTAGTGGCTTGTTGGGGAAGTACTTTCCGTATTACAAGGATAGTATAGTTTCCCCAAGACCCTTTTTCTAGTTTATTAGGCTCCTACATGGTAGAAGCCTACTATAGACCCTTTATAGACCCCTGTAAAGAACCCTTTAAATGTTTTTTTTCTAATTTCTAAGGCAACTATCCTGGGAATCGCAGGCTTCAGCTCCTGGAGCCTCGTCGCCACCCGGCGCTGTTGAAGTGCTTGCTCGGCCCGGGGCCTCAAGCTTTGGGGCCTAGGGTTTGTATTCAGACTTAGGGTTAAGGAAAGATGCGGGGCCTAGGGTGTTAAGGCTAATTTAGGGTTTAGGGAAGATTTGGGGCTTAGGGTTTTGGGCTAATTTAGGGTTTAGGGAAGATTTAGGTTTTGGGCTAATTTAGGAAAGATTTGGGCAGGGGGTTTTAGGCTTCTTTTGGGTTTACATTCAGGGTTTGGGGCTTTAGGCTGTTGTTAAAGTTTGCATGTGTGGTTTAGGATTTCGGGCTTTTTTGGTTTACGTTCAGCATTTGGGGTTTTAGGTTGTTTTTAGGCTTTCATGTGGGGTTCAGGGTTTTAGGCTTTTTTGGTTTACATTCGGGGTTTGGGGTTGTAGGCTTCTGGTAGGGTTTACGATTAGGGTCTAATTACTTTGCAGGCTTAACTTAGGCATCAAAACCTGGGTTCAGGGCTTTCTAGGGTTATCACGGCTCTTGTAGATACAAAGCAATTAATGGTTTGGATCTACAGGTTCTTGGCTACGTATTGGCGGTACTTGTAGGTATAGGCGCCCAAATAATTGCCACCGATACTAGGGGGCTCTTTATGATTATTATATCAGAATATACCCCGAAACCCTATTGGAATTATTCAGGCCCCTATATAATGGAACCCTTCTGTAGATGCGTTATAGACCCCTTTAAGGAACCCTTTAAAGGAACCCTAGTATAATTATTAGGCCACTATATTAGAGGGCTTTGTCTTATTAGTCGATACGCCTGAGACTTTGGGAGCCATGAGGCGGTAACAGTGTAGGAACCCTAAAGGTTTAGTGTTTAAGGTTTACCAGAAGCCTTAAATTACCATAGCCTGGTTTTTGTAGTATGTTACATTTTCTTAACCATAAGAAACCTACCAAAAATCGATAAATATGGTTTTGATAGTTTAAGGTTGGTTTGAGGGACTGCCAACCCTGTGCGAACCAAAAACTAGCTAGACCCTTTCTTGGCGTTCTTCTGGTTGACTCTTAGGACTTTAACTAATAAGGAGGCTAAAAGTTTAACTTTTAGTAGGAGGGTTTCAGAAGTCAGCCAAGCTATAGGCCCTAAGCTCTAAACCATGTAAGGCCTAGGGCTTCTACAGCGAGCTGGAGTTCTTGAGCCCCAGGAGCAGCAGAGTTATCAAGGTCCCGCCCAAGACCCTAAGATAGGAACCGAATATCAATAGTACATCATGATACGATCTATGACGAATCTTGTTTTAATCGTAGTAATGAGGAAGACTATACCCTGAATCCTCGAAGTCTGTTAAACCCCATAGAATCCTCGCAGAACCCTACAAGCATAGTCTAAAGTACTATAAAGCTCTTGTGCAGCCCAAAGAACCCCAAGTACTTTACGGCTCCCACCGGATAGTTCCCTGAGGTCTTGCAATGCTGCTGCCGCAGGCGGGCATTTGGAGATGAAAGCCAGGGTTCTAGGAACTTTTCTCATGGCTTACATAGTGGCTCCGCAGGGTTTTCCGAGGTTTTGAGGGGTTCTGCGGTGTTCAGGCTTAACCCTAAATCCTAAACTCTAAGCCCTAAACCCTACACCCTAAACTCTACTTAGAGGATCATGGGACTTAGTAAGTACGTTATAATTGGGGTTAGAAGTCCCCTAAGTGGGGTTATCCTAATTATAACCTACTTATAACCTTACTTACTAAGTCCCATGAGCCTTCAAGTAAACCCTAAACCAGAGGAGTCAAGGGCTCTTTGCGTTTCCGGGTTTTAGGGGTTGACCAGAGGCACTGGAGCAAGCGCTTTTGGGGCGAGCTCGGTTTCAGCTAGGGCCCAGAGTAGGCCCTTAATCTTTTTTTTAGGGTTCAGGTTCCTTTATAAGCCCCTTTGAACCAAAAAGTGTACCGTTTTTATTCCTAGGTTACTTTTGGGTTTAGTCAGGGTCCCATAGATGGAATCAGAAGGCAAGCCATAAGGCTTCGGTATAGATCATAGCGGTGTTTTTTGCTTTTACGTTTAAATGAGCAAAAGCTGAAGGACCAAATGACCCTTAAAAGTAGGGGTCCTATACCCATATACTATGAATTCCTATACGTTATATGAACCTTAAACCCTTTTAGGGTTCGTTTCGTCCTTAAGGAACCCACCCTAAACTCGATCAGTCCTAAGGTTAAAGGGGCCTCTGCCTGCAAAGCTTTTTTCCGTGCAGGCGGGTGCCTTCCAAATACTTCGCGAGCGGATGCCTCTCGCATTGATCTTTGGGTTTTGGGATTTTGGGATTAGAGCCTTAGGCTAATTAGGGTGTTCAGGGTTGAGGGTTTTTTAAGGTTAAGCGGTGAAGGGTTTAGCGTTTAGAGTTTAAGGATAAGGGTTCAGAATCCTCTAGATTATATAGTCTCGGTATCTTCACACCAGTATAGAGAGTTTTCCTGAACGGCTCATAGGTTTTGATAGGGTTGCAATCGTATCCCCTGACAGTTCCTGTATAGATACACTGGAATCTACATCAAGACCGACAGCTCTTTGCAAATTGCCCGTCGATCATGGTAAATACGGAACACCAAACCCGTACCCAAGGTCCGAAATGGAAACCAAACCTTCCCCCACACCCTGAACCCCCACAAGGAAAATTCGAATCAGCTCGCCATTCTTCTCAACCCTACCCTAAGCCATAAACCGTGAGCCAAAAAGTCCCTGCACACCCCTTAGCCCTAAAACCCTAGACCGATTCAGTAGTCCGAGGCGGGAGCAGAGGGGTCGCGTAAGGATGATTCGCCTGATGTGAGGAAACTCAGACAGCGAAGTTCTCAAGGAACTGGAAGCGCTAAAGGAAGCCGCCACAGAGCTCAGGAAAACCAGCGCGGAAAGGAACGAGATCGCAGAGTCGATCAGGAAGAACACAGAGGAAGCAGGAAAACTACGTCGTGCCCAGGAACATGTGGCTGGTTGCGTGAAGTCGCTTACTGGACAGGTACAGGACGTCAAGTTTCACCCCGCATTATCGAGCACCTCTGCATGGCGCCAAACTCAGAGGACGAGCCAGTGAACAAGGATGCGAAGACCCGCCATCGGGGTTAGAGTTTCGACTTGAGCCATTGGCTTGGCAATTGGGTGGCGCTTAGTTTTTTTAAGCATGGGACCCAAACCTAAAGGCAGGCCTCCAAGCCCAGCGGCGGTGGTTAAAGCATCACCCAAGCCGGCTGGGAGGGGACCGGCCAAGGATCGGACGCATCCTGTGTGTCGCATGTTGCACTGACCATGTCGCAGTCGAAGTTGTTTAGCAGGATGCCCAGTAGTACCCTTATTCCCTTTTTGTAGTCCTAGGTTCCTTATAAAGTTACCCAATACCAAAAAGAGAGGCCTTTTATTTTCTTCTTAGGTTACTGGGTATCCTAGTTAGGGTTTAGGGTAGTATTAGGGTTTATCAGGGATCAACTTAGGCAGGGATGCGCGTATGGCCGGGATAGCCGTACCCCTGGGGGCTTTTTCCATGGTGCACCACAACAGGGCATTTCGAAGTTCAGGCCACCCCCATAACACATAGCAATCCCCACATCTACTGTATCCATTCGTCGGGACTTGGCTACTACACCTGCAGCATGAAACATGAACTGTGTAATTCTGTCAAACATGTCTGGACGGTCAACGGGATGGACGGGATAGCGGTACCCCTGGGGCTTTTTATGGTGCACCACAATGGACGAAGTTCAGGCCACCCCCCACAACACATAGCAATCCTCGGGCAGAAACGTTATCCATTGGCCGGGAGTTGGCTACTACACCTGCAGCTTGAAGCATCTACGGTGTAATTGTTCCCAAACATTCGACATGTCTGGGTGGTTTCGAAAACTATGCTGATTGCATGCAGGGAGCAGGGCTTTTCAATTTCAAACACTTAAGAATAATTTCTGATAAAGGAATATATATGGCAGATGTTTTCTGTTGTTGTGAAGGAAACTTGAACTTCTTTATCATTTTTTGAGAAAACAACTCGTCGGCCCAACCCCGAGAACACACCAGCCCTTGAAGCCCTGCTTTCGACTCGCCGGACACCACATTGTGCTCCTGACGGACACCAAGAATATCTCGCCGGAGCAGGTGCCTTCCGCCCCCCCGCTTTGCACACGTTGCTCATGGCTGTGATTTGCTCATGTCGCTTGCACCTGCATTCGTGGTTGAATTGTTGGCACATGGAGCAGGGCATGACGGATTGCTGCGCATTTGGTTCAAAGAGAGCCTTGAGAACTTCTAACTCGTTATCTACTTGTCGATTTTTTTCGCCTTGGCCATCATGTCCGGCCCCTCAACCCCTCGTGCGCCGCTCAAGGAGTACATGCCGAACGTTGGACCCCGGATGGCCACGACGTACGCGAAGGCCGAGCACGCGAAGAACAGGGAGGTGGTGATCATCGCCTACGGTTCGGAGATGAACTACCCCGATGGACGAAGACGCTTGCAAAAGAAATAGACATTCATCACGTTTGCACGAGACATTGCTTTGTGAACACGTGATTCATGTCACAATGACTTTTCAGGTGACTCGCCGTTGAACTCGTACTGCGCTGGACACACGGGGATCGTACAGGAGTATTGTCGCTGGGCTTTTGGCAAGGAGAACTTTACCTTTCAGACGGTGGACGTTCGAAATCTCGGACTGACAAACGCGGAGTACGACCAAAACACTCCGAAGGGTTTCTGAGCAGCAGTTCCTCAGTGTTTGCATGAGCCGTTCATGACAGGAGTGTGTGTAAGTAACAGAAAGGTTGCAAGCAGTTTCTTTAGTTCATGTGCGAGGCAACCCGGCGGTCAACTACGACGTTCTCAAGCACCTCAGTATTGGACAGAACGGCATGTGGCAAGCGCTGGTCTTACTCATTGGACTCATCTGGACGTGGTTCGAACTTCGTGGGCCACAGCAAAAACTCGCGTTGTTCTTGCACTGAGACTGTGCTGCAAATTAGATATCGGCGTATGTCTGACTACAAGCCTTTATTTATAGTGCTTTGGTGTCTCTACTTTGAAGTTCTTCCCGTTGGTTCTGGTTATTTCAGAAAAAAATCAGGTGCGAAGGGCAAGCACAGGGCGGCTGGGACCGGATCGCTTCTTTCGATTGCCACCGGTTTCCCTTGTTATTTCCCGACGTTCAACTTCCCCAGCGTCTGGGACGCGCGGTTCTACTTCGTTCGACTACCCGCTGTTCTGCCGGAAAAGGACGAAATCAACGACTTCATTCTCTCCGCGGCGGACTGCGCGAAGTACCCCTTCAAGTCCGAAGCTCGCCGAGAACTCGCCTGGAAGATCTGTCAGGTCAAACACAACCTGGTCGAGCCGGACTCGGACCTCGCCACGTGGGTCTATGAGAACAACCTTCAGGACTCGCAGGACAACGAGGGGTACTACTCGGACACGGAGGAGGAAAAGGTTCTCGCAGACTTCAGAGGCGAGAACAGGACAGTTCGACGGACCAGGAGAAGGCGAAAGGCACCCACGCCGGACAACGCTGATGAAGAGGAGGAGGACAAACCCGTGGAGCAGTCGTCGAGCTCGGACGAGGAGGAAGAGGAACCGGCGGACATGAAAAAGTTCGAGAACACGAAGATGTTCCCCGGAGAAGCTGTGGACGATGATGGCTTTGTTCGTGTTAACAGAACACGCAAGGGCAAAAAGCTCGGTCTGGACGACGACGTACCTCCCAAGATGTGCCCGGAGAACTACACCGCGGTGGACATGCTCGAGTTCGCGCTGTACAAGGCACGCCAACGCGGTGGACAAGTCGCGGTGGACAACCTCTGTTTGGAGATGGCCAAGGAGAGAGAGTCTTGGCAGAAGAAATAGCCACTCTGGTAGTTATCTCTGATTGTTGCATTCCACAGCCAGTCCAAGTCGGACGTCTAGATCTATTATTAGCCACTAGTAATCTGATTGCACAGATCAGGAACGCGCTGTACTCCTTTACAAAGCTCCATCGGTGGCCTCCGCGATGGCCCTGTACAAAAACCAGTTCGACGATCATGTGTGGGGGGCAACCAGATTGCAATGACAGTTTTCATTTTCATTGTGTGTTCAGGCAGGCGAGTGTGCACTCCTTGGTTAAATCAGGCCATGGCTTGTCTCGTTGAGCAATCCCCGTGGGGACGTGTCCTGGCCCATGACATCGCCAAACAAATGCGCAGTGCCTCGACGATTAACTTGGTGTTGTGCCTGCGAATGAATGCTGTGTCAGTGCTTCTTGACGGTCTGAGTCTCCGATGAAACTGAGGTAAGTTCATGGACGGCGATGTCAGGAACCCGTCGAACTATTTCCTGACGAACATCAACACGAAGGCCAAACACGCGATGCACCCGAGGAGTTCCTTTGAAGCATTAATTAACTTTGGCTAGTCAATACCCAACAGTCCAAGTTACTCCTTGTGCACTGCCTTGTGTGCTCCTGAGTTGTTACTAAAAATGTCCTGGCGCTGCTTGGCTTTGTCCCAGGCGACGACGAGGAGTTCCAGGCGTACAAGACGGCCAAATCACGCCGGGTCGAGAGACAGGCCAGGGGGGCAGGCGAGGGACCGAGGGACGGCTGGGAGCCGGTGAAATCGCCGAGCCAACTCAACCAGCACGACCTACCCGGTGGACTTGGTTGGGAACGTGTCATGGACTCGCTGGACGACGACCAGAACCTGGTCATCGAGGGTCGGCTGAGGAGGCGAAGGACGGAGGAGTTGAAACGCGAGGGCATTGACACGCCGGAGCATGGCGCAGGACACCCCTCGATGGACAGACCTAAGGGTTCTTTCGTGCCGGACAGCCAGTCTTGGTGCCCACCCCAGCGGCCACCCATGCATGTGGAGAACACGCCGGACGCACCCCCCATGGCCCACCACGGCCCTCCAGTGCCTCGTGGCCCACCCGCCGGACGTGCCCCGTCGACCACATCCAGCAGTGCAGCAGCTTCGTCTGGGCCGACCATAAGGCCAATTTCAAAGACGACGGGCAAACCCTTGCAACCCGCGACGGCCCCACCCAAGTCCCCGGGTCAGCCGAGTCAGTGGCTGGGACGACAGCAGGACAACGCGACGTGGAGCAGAGCGCTGGACGCACGAAGGCGCGAGGATATCAAACCCGCCGTTCCACAAGAAGCTTCCCCGAGTTCCCCACCCAAGCAGAAGGCCAGGCCCACGGCGCTCAAAACCCCTCCCGCCGACCCCCCGCAGGCCCCGGCCAAGGCACCCGCTGTTCCCTCCAAGAAAACC